AGAGTTCAGTCCTGTTGAGCCCGGGCAGGTGGGATGTCTCCGGGGCCAGGGTCTCCCTGCGTCCTGGCTGCCGGCCTGATAGTGGGCTCGGTCCAACGTCCAGGTTTTCCTCCAGGAAGGTTTCCGAGGAAGGGGAGAGGGGTGTCCCGCTGCTCCAAGTCTCCGTGGCTCAGAGTTTGGTTGGAGTGCTCTCAGAAGGGAGTGTAGGGTGCAGGAACTTGGGAATGGACTTGGGAGGAAGCGTGGGTAAAGAGAAAAGGGAAGGAGGATGACAGGAGGTGCGCCATTTTGGAACAGGAAATCAAGGGAAGGTGGTGTGTTTTGGTTTTTAGTTTTACTGTTTTACTTAAAAAAAAAAGATAAAAGTGAATCTTTTAAAAAACCAAAAACACCAACAGGGGATGGGTGCAGAGAGCTGAGGAGGGCCACACCCGTGGCAGACCCTTCAGAGGGTCCAGAGAATGCGGTGGGAGTAGGGTGGAGATGAAAGGAAGAAGAGCAAGGAGAGAAGTGGCAAGGGGGGAGGGCAGGCTGAGGTGGAGGTGGGAGGGGGCTTCTAGAAGGAGATGGAAGAATTCCTCGCCCCAAAGGAAGTCAATACAGGGATAGAGGTTCTGGAAGCCGCGGGCTTTTCTGAGACTGGGCTTGAGGTCTCATTCGACCCACTCATCTCTTTAGATGGTTTAGTGGCCTGGAACAAAAACAGGGGTCGGGGGTCAGAGAGAGGAACGGAGAGCCTTCATGCGGGTCCCCAGCTGAAGTTTTTTAAAAATGAAAAACCTCCACAAATCCAAGAGGAAATTAACTCGCAAAAGGAAGAACCCAGAGGGGCATCTGGAGAGAGTGATCCCCTGAGATGGGGAGGAAGGGGCCACAGTGGTGGACAGAACCGGGTAGGGGGGTGGGTACAGAGTTGGACCCAAAGGCCTAGGGACCAGGGTACTGACGGGAAAGAGAGAAGGCAGAGGAGAGAGACCAGAGGATCACAGGGGAGATCACACCAAGGACAGGTGGATGGGGAGGTGGGAGTGGGGAGGATAGGAGAGGGAGGGAGAAGATGTGAGAGGCTGGCTGCCACAGGGATGCAGGCAGAGAGGCCAGAGGCCCAGGCTGGCCCCTTCTGGCCTCTGCAGGAGGCTGACACTAAACAGAAAGTCTTATGGAGACAACGAGGGGGCAAGCTTGTCCTCCCCAGGGGAGCACTTCTCTAAAGAACCCCCACCCCCATCCACCGCAAGGTGGAGGAAAAGGCACTCACTGCACCCAGCTTCCAGCCCCTGTGCATCCCCTACAAGTGTTCCTCTAGCTCCCAGCCACAAGGGTTGTGGGTAATGGGAGCTTAGTCCCTCCTGAAGTGTCTGCGCTCACTGGTCAGCTCTGATCACTAGCAACAGCTGCACCTCCTTCCACCTCGGGCGGACTCCTGGTGTCCCTAGGGGTCTGTTTGTGTGATTCCAGGGCCAGGCGTGCATCACCGAGACAGGATTACGGCTCACAGATGCAGATCCCCGGGGCCCCGTTCCAGAAGGTATCTCTGGCTCAGGCTCAGGCATCTGCATTTTAGGACAGGCACCCTAGATGACCCTGCTGCACACAACCTTGTGAGCCCCTGGGTTGGGGCTACACAGACGGGGTTTCTCTCTGTGGTTGTATTTGTAGTCCACCCCTACCCCACTCCCCACCCCCTACCTTAGCATAGCCACTAGTGTGATAAACAAACGGCCTTGATTAAAAAAAAAAAAGGAAGGAAGTGGACTGGAAACAGTGCTGTGGCACATAGCTAGAGACCCCCTACAGCTTGGTCCAGGCAAGGTCACCCCATTTCCCACCCACCTATGCTATCACCAGCCACTGGGTGGGCTCTGTCAGATGCCTCACAGTGGGGAAGGTGGAGAGTGCCTCCAGCAGCCAGCAAGGGCACCAAGGAGATCTCAGGCAGCCCGACTGACTGACCGTGAACTTGCCCTTGCTGTTGATAATCACCGTTTCTTCTTCCACACGTGCAGTGATTCATCTGCGTTTTGCTAATCACACAAGTCGTCTGCAGTCTGCAGTTTCCCTTTATGAAAATCAAGCCAAGGGTCTCCGGTCTGGGCCTCCTAACCCCTCCCCCTTTACTGTAGCTCTTCATTTGGACTCACAGAGGTTTCACAAGGGGCACCTGGGAGGCTCAGTCGGTTAAGTGTCTGACTTCGGCTTGGGTCATGATCTCACGGTGCATGGGTTCGAGCCTCGCATCGAGCTTTGTGCTGACAGCTCAGAGCCTGGAGCTTGATTCAGATTCTGTATCCCCCTCTCTCTGCCCCTCCCCCACTCACACTCTCTGTCTCAAAAATAAATACTAAAAAAAATTTTTTTAAAGAGGTTCCACAAGGGGCGCCTGGGAAGCTTAGTCGGTTGAGCGTCCGACTTTCGCTTAGGTCATGATCTCGCGGTTTGTGGGTTCGAGCCCCACGTCGGGCTCTGTGCTGACTGCCAGCTCAGAGCCTGGAGCCTGTTTCAGTCTGTGACTCCCTCTCTCTGACCCTCCCTGCTCACGCTCTCTCTCTCTCTCCTAGAAATAAATAAAAATATTTTAAAAAAAGATAAAGCAAATTATAAAATTCTCCATATTGTATTTTAATTTATTTAATCAATTAGAAAATTAAATAAGCCTTAGAAAAATTTTGGTTACACCAGGATCTTACTGTAACAGTATTTCCTTTCAAATTCTTCTTTAACTCTTCACAATAAGCAGAAACAGTATTGTCATAACTATTCAATAGTACTACTTAATATTACTAAATGANCCTGGAGCCTGTTTCAGTCTGTGACTCCCTCTCTCTGACCCTCCCCTGCTCACGCTGTCTCTCTCTCTCTCCTAGAAATAAATAAAACATTAAAAAAAATTATAAAGAGGTTCCACAAGATCACAGCCTTGTGTAGCCACGAGATCTTCCGATTCATTCAGTCCTTTGTCAAGTGCCAGGTGCCAGGCATGCCCCACCCCCCCACAGGGGCCCAGTACCTGGGCCCGGAGACAGACTCATTACAAGGCAACCTAGAGCTATCTCACTCCGGTCACTAGCCTTGGGCTCCAGTCCTGCCCCTCCCCTTCCACCCTTTCCCATTCAAAGTTCTTTCTCCCAAAGCCAGGTGGGAGGGGAGACCCTGCTTGTCGCCTCACATCTCACCGCCTCCTCCTGGCTGCCCTCTTTGTTCTCAGCCCATCTTTCTAGTTAAAAGCTTTTTCTCTTCCTTCCCTTTAGCATTTGTCACGAGCCCCGGTTCCATTCTGAGCTTTGGTCTCTGGAATATCTGCCTTCCAGCTTGTGCCACCACCTGCCCCCTATATTCACTCAGGTGACACGTCCTCAGCCAGGCGATGACCCCTTTTTCCCACAGCCACTGCAAAGCCTGTAAGTGGCCTGTGTGGACACCCTCGCTCCTTCTTCATGGAGACCAAGGCCGCTTGTAGCTGCTGGTGGAGCCCTTGTTGGTAAAGCCCTATCAGCCATCTTTCCTGTCCAGGAGACTGGGCGCGGCGACATCTAAAGTCCCCGCTCCTGAAGCTGAGGGGGCATGCCCATTGTGCCGAGTGCTCCTGTCCCCGCACAGCTCACTTCTCACAGCTGCTGTGTCTCAAGTTGTCTGTCACTTCGTTTCACCAACCAGTCCTCCCCTGTCACTTCCAGAGCTCTGTCCCCTTTGAGGCAAGGCGGAAACCTTCAGCTTTCAGCGGGGGGTGTGGGGGTGTGGGGGGGGTGCCTGGAGCCATTAGCTGGGCCCAGACGGCTGAGCCCTGCAGCCCTCCTCCTCCTGTGGGACAGAGTCTAGCACCCGCTCCACGCCCTGAGCATGCCGACCTGTCCCTCCGTGCTGTGTCACAGGCACAGATCATCTTGCGTGGCCCTGCTGGCTATTAGGAGACCTGGGCCTGTCCCTCAGCCCAGGTGGGTTGGGTCCTGAGAAAGCTATGTGTCCGGAGCAATCCTGTTCTCCTCACCAGTAACCAATTCGGAAACGGGCAAGGAGAAGAGAGGGGAGGGGAGCTGGGGGCTGCTGGGGAAGGGTCTCTTGCTCCTAAACAGATCTGTGTGCCCAGAACCCCCGGGAGTGAAGGCAGCCAATGGGGGGGGGGGGCAGGACCATTTGGGAGGGGGGGTATACCAGGTATTTAAAGATTTCCCAATCCCCAGCAGAAGAAGGGGGGTCCAGGGTTTCCCATCTGCCCCAGGCCTTGGATCCTCACACCCCTGGAAATCTGGCCCACCCCAGGTTTGGTGTCTATAGCCCTAGGACTTTTATTCCCCTTCCGCTTGTCATTGTCAAAGGCGGCTTCGAGCCCCAAGTGTTAGAACTACGTGATGGGAGAGAGGCCAGTGCCCTGCCCTTGGCCACAACAAACGTCCAGCACAACGGAGGACAATGGGGAAGCTCCTATGCAGAGCGCTGCAGGGCTCTTGCAGGTCTTTCCTACACCAGGTATCAGGCGACCTCAGACCCTGCTGGGTTTTTGTCCCCATTGTACAGATGAGGGAAGAGCCTGCAGAAGGCAGAGGACTTTGACCAAGTTCACAGACCAGGTTCACTACAGACCAGTGTCTGGGCCCAGAGGACGGTGACCCAGTATGGCTGGAGCAAATCGAGGATGTGGGGTGGAGGGCGTCAGGAGAACTGGGGTGGCAGGGGAGGAGCCCAGGCTAGTCACAAAGCACCGGGGTGACTGAAGGACTTCTGATGTTCTCCCCGGGCAGGGAGCAGTGGACATGGGCAGTTGGGGGAATGACATAATCAGTAATTTGCATTTTACAGACAGCTCCCCAGCCCGCAGGTCTGGGAAAATAGGTTACAGGTGACAGAAGTCACAGGGAGACCTTAGAAAGGCATGCCTTTAGGTAATGAGGCATAGGATGACTTTTCCCCCTGCTTCTTTAAGAAATTTCCACAAGGAACATATATCGCTTTATTAGGGAGAAGATGCTTTTTTAAAGAAAGGCTCCTAGAAAGTAAAAGTGAGCAGTATGGCCAGGGTCGAGGCCCCAGTGGGGAGAGAACCGTGGACAGCAGGTGGTGAGGAAGGAAAGAGGAGACTCTCAGAGTGGGTGGATGCCACCCTTGGGGGGTGGCGGGTGACATTTTCTGAGGGGCAGGCTTGGGCTCAGAACAGACTCCGGGCAGGGCCAGAGGGTACTGGTGCCGCCGGAGAGGTGTGTGTGGTATGAAGAGCTCAGAGGCCCAGGAGGAAGTGTGACCCAGCGAAGTGAAGAGGCAGAGGGGACACACCCCGAAAGGAGTCAGGAGGGTCAGGGTGAGGGCTGACAAGGGAGGAGACAACAGCAAGGAATGGAGGTCTCCACACAGCTCCCCCGTGTGTGTATCTGTGTGTGCGTGCGTGCGTGCACGTATGTTGGGGGGCAGGGTCTATACCGCACATGCTGCAGAGAGGGGAGTAGGGCATGGTGGGAAAAGCAAGTCTGGAGGCCACTGGAGACACAGCCCTGGGATGTGGCTGGAGGGAAGGTCGAGTGGGCTGGCGACTGAATGGAGGAGACGGTGTAGAGGCCGCAGAGGTGACAAGGGGGCAGGAGAGAGGAGCTGGGTGCCCTGCAGTGGGGGGTCAGGGAGAGAAACGGCAGAGCACAGTCGTAGCCCAGAAAGGTGCCTGCTGAAGAGACCAAAGGCCATATGTGTGGGGGCGGAGGGGTATCACACAGCCTGGGTGCCAGTCCTGCTCTTTTTGCCAGCGGCATTACCTTGGGTAAAGCCTCAGTTTCCCCATCTATCAAATGGGCATCAGAAGGATGTTCCTCAGAGCGGTGTGGTGAATGTGAAACCATTTCATGTCTGGTCTGAGCCTGGCACAGTGAGCACCCTGTGAACGTCAGCTGCTGCTGTGGACACGAAGGAGGGACCGGCCCGGACAGGACAGGGGACCTTGTGCACTGCGGTGGTGGGACAGAGAGCTGGGGGTGGGATTTGCAGGGTGTGTCTGGGGACCCACGAGGAAGATGGCGGGCTAGCGGGGAGCTAGTGAGGAGAGCTGGTCATGGGTGGCCTGTCTCCAGGGGTCTCTCCAGAGAACCAGCAGGCAGGCAGGCAGGCAGGGCCTTGCGTGCCCAGGGCCGTCCCAGGCCCAAGTGGTGGGAAGGGCTTTGTGATTCCTGGGTCCCATCGTGGCTCTGATACCACCTTGCTGTGGGCCGTTGGGAAGCCCCTTTCCTTCTCTGAGCTGTCCCCTCATCTGTAAAGGAGGTAGCTGGACTTGCCATCTCTAACCTCCTGCCTCTGAGCCTAGAGCCTTCTTTAGGTCACAGTATCTGGACACTTTACAGCGCCCACTCCCACCCCGGCGCCCATAACGGGCCTGGCCCACGGGAGCTGCTCAGAAATACTACTGAACCAAATGAATGCACCAAAGGTCTCTCTCAAGATCTAGGCCCAGGGACCACCCTGCACCTTCTGCCCAGGCCACACAGTGGGCCACAGGACAGCAACACCCACGGGCGAGGCTGTGGATTCTATACACCTGCCTCCAAGCCCGCCGACTAAATCTGAAAGAGGTTACAGCACCCCTGTCGTTCCCACCCCACCTGGGGGCCACCTCTCCCCCTCCCCATCGACATCGGCAAAACCCATCAAGGCCCAAACACAAGACTGAAAAGCGGATGCGAAACTGGTTTCTCCCACAGCTGGAAGAAGGCCTGAGATCCAAGCGGGAGGCCAAGATGAGCGAGGGGCGGACCTGCCCGAGAGCAGGGAGCTGAGGGCAGGGAGGGGAAGCAGAGCCGAGTAGCAGCAGCAGCAGGAAGACAAAGGGAAAAGGGAGCCCGCTCCCGCATCCCTGGGTAGGCCCGGCCCTGGAAGGGACCCAGGCATCGGGCCAATGGGGGACACAAATTCCCCTGGCTCCCCCTCCTCCAGGAGTAGCTGGGGAAAGACCTTCTCTGCTCCCAGTGAGGGTCTCCTAAAAGGGGGGTGGCCTGGCTGAAAATGTATGTTCCGAAGCAGCTCCAAGAGTGCTCGGGTTGACAGGAGGAGGGAAAAGATGGCTCGAGGGACTGGTGGGGTCGTGCTGGCAGGTGGGGGGTCTCTGGGCAGCTGGCAGGAGATGCTCAGCTCATAGCCGGAGGACAAGGCACTGCGGAGAGGGGGCAGGGGAGGGACCAGGACAGGCCACGCCCCACTCCACAGCGCCCACACCTACCTGCTGCTGGGCCTGGATCCTCATGTACTCCGCCCTCTGCTTGCCGTGCTTGCCTTTGTCGGGGCTGCCCGCCTGGCCCTGGACTGCCTTCAGCCGAGAGGCCCCTGGAGTCACCACCTTCATGGGTGGCACGCTGCCACCGCCACTCTGCAGGAAGAGGAACAGGGTAGGGGTTGGAGGCAGGATCATTCTGGAATCCTAGGTGCTGGGTGACCTGATCTCTGGGGCTGGGACCTCCTCAGTGGGCCCTTTGCGACCTGGAGACCTTTGGACCTCCCGGGCTCCACAGCCCATTCCAGGACCCAGGTCCTGTCTCTGAGGCCAGGCTTGAGGCCTCCCTGCAGAAGAGGGGACAGGGGCCTCCGAGCCAGGTTCCCAGGGAGGGCTCCATGAGTTGCCAGGGGCAGCAGGTACCCTCCTAGGGGAGCCACTTCTAAAGTGAGAGTCCCTGGCGTCACCCCCACTCCTGGGTCTGGCACAGCATGCCTGAGACTTGAGGAGGGGGGTCTATGACAGACAGCGTGGGATTAGCAGCCCCAGACCTATGTCTTCCTCTGAACGGGAGAATGGGGTGAAGTCTCCCTAGAGATGGATAAGCCCAGCTCCTTTGACCCACCCCAGGTACCACCCTGCCTACAAGGGCTCTGGGGATTCAGAGGCGCAGACAGAGAAACAACAGAGGCCAAGAGAGTCAGACAGGAGAGGGGCAGGGGAGCGCGGGGATGGAAAAGGAGGAGAGAACTTTATTTGTTGGTTTACAGATACAGAGCAGAGGGGAGAGGACCCCGTCCCTGCCCGGGCTGGCTGGGCTGATCCCGGGGTAGGCCAGCTTCCCAGCCTCCCGGGCTCTGCCTGCACACCCCTTCTGGCACCGGGTTCTCAGGACGCTGGCAAGAGCTGAGAAAAGGCCAGTGGGAGGAGGGGGCTGGTGTGGTGCCCCTGCAGCCCCCCACTCCCTCCAGTTGAGGACAGAGAGTCTGGAGCACGAAGGCAGGGGGAGAGACTAAGGGAAGAGCAGCCACCTGGGGACCCACTGGCAGGGGTGGGGGGCTGCCAGGGGGCTCCGTGGCGAGGGCTGTGCCCATCTGGCTCAGAGTGGCTTCCAGCTCCCGGAGTGTCTCCTCCAGGCTGTCCATCCGCTGGGTGGTGGCGCCTCTCACTGTGCAGCCCAGACCAGCAGTGGGCTGGCCCCTGGGCACCCCACCGCCGGGTTGTGCATCCTGTCCCATGTCCTTGGGGGTCTCCTCTGGGTGGCTGTCAGCAGCGGAAGGCTCCTGAGTCCTGTTAGGGGCTGGTCCCCAGGAACAGGGGAGCCTGGCTCCGCCCTCTGTGATGCAGCTCCCTGTCCCCAGTCTCTGCTGAGCTGCCCCGTCCTTCTCAGGCACCACGCTGTTCCTGAGCTGGGAAGCCTTGGCCACTACCTGTGGCAGGGCCTGGGCGCCATCCCAGCCCCTCCCACTGCCAGCCAGGGTCCGGGGTCGCGGGGTGGGGGTTGTCCTATGATCAGGTTCCTCAGGTCTGGCCTCTGGTGGGGAAGGAGCGTTGGGGGTACACTCCGTCAAGATGATCTGGGGGACGCAGAAAGCCCTGGGGCTTGGGGCAACCTGGGGGAGTAAGAAGAAAGATGAGGGAGAATATGATCCCTGCAAGCCAAACGCCCTGAGCTGGGATGGTGGGGCTGGAGGGGAGGTTAGACACAGGTGAACCCAGCCTCTTCCTTTCACAGATGGGGAAACTGAGGCAGGGGAGGGTGGTGGCTGAGTTTACTTAACAAGTCAGAGGCAAAGCTAGGACTAGAACTCGGGCCTCTTCCGACCCCACACTACAGTCTCCCACTTGCTGGCAGAGACGCTGGTTTACCCGGAAGCACAGAAACAGGTTTGCCTCTCACTGCCTGTGTTAAACTCTGGGAGCAAGTCCCGTGGGTCTGTCCATCTGTACAATGGGGTAACAAGAGCATGGAGGTGGTAGAAAATTACGTGAGCTCATGCGAGAATGTGCTTAGAACAGTGCCTGGCACATCGTCAGTGCTTGGTGAATATTAGCTGTTTGTTGAATTGACTGGAAGGGTGGAGCTGTCACCCTAATCTCAGGCCAGAGACCCCTGGCCCCCTCACCCTCCACTCTTGGAACTTTCTCCAAGGGCTTCACAGCCACAGGGGAGGGGCTCAGTCAAACCCTTCTGCTGTACTCGGCAAAGCCAGAGCAACTGCTTCTGGGTGAGCATCGTCTGCTCTGGCTTTGGTGGGGGGGGGGGGGCACCGAGAGAGGCCCTAACCACTATCCCCCACCTTGAGTGAATTCTGGTATAATTCAGAGTCTTGTGCCAGGCACTGCCACGTACATCTTCATCTTTAGTCCTTAGTTATAACCCACCAAATGGCTACTGCTTCTATGGTCCTCACTTTACAGATGAGGAAATTGAGGGTGGGTGTGGGTGTGATCTACCCAAGGTCACTTACCCAGAGCTAGTTAGTGGTAGAGCCAGGATTTGAACCCAGGCAGTCTGACTCCAAGTCCAGTGCTCTTTCCACTAAAAGGACCCATGGGGGTATTCCAGGGTGGGCAGCAGAAACCTCAAGCCCCCCTCCCCCAAGGTGACCCACCCAGCCTTGTTACCTGCTTACCTGGAGGTGGGGGGTTGCCGACTGGGAAGGCAGAAAGGCGACCCACGCCTGCCCGGCTTCACTGCCCGATGGCGCCACAGGACACAGAGGGTAAGCCAGCCCAAAAGGCCAGCAGGGGGGCTTTGCCCACTGGACCCCTTCAGGATTAGCTCCCAGAGGCCAGAAAGAGGCAGGAGCGGCTGGGTGCAATGGGCCAAAGTACCAAGGGCATGGCCAGCCCATGGGGCACCCCTTCCATACTGCTCCTCCCCAGACAGCTCTTTGGACTGCTCTGTGCCCATCCTTTGCCCAGCAGACAGCTCCGTCCACCTGTTTGGTGCCTGTCTGCTCCCCCTGGCCAGGGAGCCAAAGCACCACCAAGCCTCAAGCCTCACCCAGGCCAGAAATCAGGTGGCAGCCAGTGTGGAGCCCACTGTGGGCCAGAGAGGACCAGACAAGGCAGGTGAGTGTGTGTGTGCATGGGAGGCTGCCCTCTCCCCGGAGCAGAGGTCCTCCTGCCCCAACCTGACTGGGAAGGAGGAGAGAGTCCCAGGTCACCTTCCCCAGGTCTCCCTCCCCAAGCACAGTCCCCTGGGGGCGGGTGCAGACAGCAGGTCTACCCCCAAATTCCCAAGAAAGAATAAAGAGAGAATAAGTGCAGCAGGATAGCAGCAAGGACTGAAGTTAGAGAGAAGGAAGAACTTCCCAATGCTAAAAGACAAAGCCAGCAGCCGAAGAAGGGCATTGGCTGTTTCTACTCCAAGTTCCCGGACCACTGGGGCCATGGGAGAGAAGGAGGTTGTAAATGAGCCTTTCCCCTGGCCCCCGGTCAAGGCACAGATTATACTGGGGAAAACGGTGCCCCTAGGTGGCACCGGTGGCAGAGGAGAGGGGTCAGGGGCAGGGACTAGGCAAGGGCTCAGGGACAAAGTCGGATTCTGAGTTGGACCTAAAGTCATGTAGTGAGCAAGATCCAAGTTCCAACTTGGACGGAGATAAAACCCAGGTTCTGGGTCAGATCTAAACTCTGGCTGCAGATTGGAACAAAATACCCAACTCAGAATCAAGCCTGTAAGAAAACGCAGACACAAGGGGCCACCAGGTACCAGACTGCTAGAGTCTCGAAGAGGGAGGGAAGGGTTATGCACCTGTCCTTGGGGCAAGGCAGGGGGGAGGCCAGGCGGGTGAGGCTGTGGCAGTGGCCGGACGTGGGGATGTGACTGGCACGTTAGCGGGTTAGCGTGAGAGGTGAGGAGAGGAAGCTGTGGAGGCACAGGCAGAGAGAGAGCTGTGAGAGGTGGGGGCAGCCCGTTACCTTCCATGTGGGGCCCTGGGCTGAGCCCCCAGGGGGCCCCAGGTCCTGGGGTGCCAGCAAGGTGGGGATCGGCTGGCGGCGGGGTGTGGGGGGGAGGGAAGACACTGAGCTTCTCTCAAACACCTGGGGAGCAGAAGGTGGGAGCAGGTTTGGAGAAGGGGGCACTGGACAGGGCAGGGTGCTGGCCTGTGGCCCACAGGGACAGACGCCAGCCTTACTCCTTGGCCCCTCACCATGCTCATTGGCCACTCTGCCCTCCATCTTGTCTCCTCCTCCCGAGGTAGTCAGGGTCTCTAGCCACTTGGGGAGGGGGGCTGAGAGCACTTGAGGATGGGGGAACTCAAGGTACTTGGGTATCAAGGTGTTAAAGCACTCTGTTCTCAGAACGTTCAGGCGTGGGGGTCTCAGAGCATAGGGGTCTCGGGGAAGCTGTGGGGAGGGGTGTTTCAGAGACTACAATAAAACCCTCCAACCTTCAAAGAGGGACTTCAGACTCCCTCCCCCCACTTTACAGTGGTGGAGAAATCAAGGCAAGAAGGATGGGGTCAGGCCAGTACTCAGCAGGAACCCGGAAGCCCAGGTGCCCAGTCGCCTCCCCAATGGGGTCAACTTAGTGGGGCAAGGGAGGGGCCTGGTCGAGGACTCGGGGACCAGGCATGCCCTTGACCCACCTCTAGCTCAGCAATGATGCGGTCCTCATCATCCTCATCCTTGATGGCAGAGGCCATGATGGGCGGCGTGGAGGCCGGGCGGGCCACCTCGGACACAGTCCGGCGCAGCTTCACTTGGGGCTTTTGCACCTCCAGCTCCTCGGACTCGGCCTTCTGCAAGGCCCAGGCCCCCGTCAAGACGAGGCTCTGCCTCCCTTTGGCACCAGCTGACCTCATTGGCCCCATCTGTGGGGGCCTTTCCTGCCCCAGCTCATCTGTTCCCTGCCAGAGACCCCCTTCCCATGGTGGAAGCCCAAGCCGGAAGCAGAGTCACCATGGCCAGCGCCCTGCTGCCCTTCCACCCCAGAGCGTCTTCGGCGGCCATCTTGGGTATCCCCCTGCCCGAGGTAAGGTTGGTACCTTGATGAAGGCTGAGTCCTTCTTGCTGGTGACCACAACCTCCCCGGTGCGCGTGGTGGTCAGGCCATGGGAGGAAGGGAAGCTCCGGCGGGGAGGGGGTGGTGGGGGCGACTTGGAGGGCTTCTCTGTGCGGTATCGAGGCACCGTCAGCTCATCTGTGGGTAGCCAAGGGGCTGGGGGTCAGGGGACGCTTAACTTTGGAGTCCACGCACCAAGTGGAGAAACCTCGCTTCCTCCTCCAGGAAGGAGGGGAGAGGAAAGCTCAGGGACGAGGACACAGGTCCCTTCTCGTTCTCTCTCACCTCCCCAGTGGAGCCCATCCCCGTCACTCCTCTTAGTGCACTCACACCCCAGCTACTCAAAGTGTGGTCCGCGGGCCAGCAGCACTGGCAGCGCCTGGGAGCTTGTTAGGAATGCAGAAGTTCAGGCCTCACCCACAGCCGCTGAATCAGAACCCACATTTTGGCAGAGCTCTGGCGATTTCATGCACACATTCAAGTCTGAGAAACGCTGCTCTAATCCATCTCTTTCCCGCCTGCCCCTCCGCGGCTCTCCTGCCACATCTTTGGCTTTTCTCCATCACGAGACAGCAGTGGCACGTGCAAGAGCCTGGCCTGACCCACCAGGCTCTCCCTGTCCCTGTTTTTCCAGGGCTGGGGGCTGTCTCCAAGGACAACCTACAGAGAAGTCACTCGAGCCTGACACTCCTCTGCCTTGGAGCCCCAGTGGTTTCCCATGGCCGCAAACCATGCCCGGCCTCCCTGGCCCAGCACCCTCCACCACTGCCAATCTTTCAGCCTCAGCTCGGCTTGCTACTTCCTGGCCTGAACCCTGCTCAGCAACGCCAAACACACACCTCCAGCCATTTGCACATGCAGTTCCCTCTCCCTGAAGTTCCCTCTCTCACTCTCCATGGAAAGGCCTACTTGTTTCCAAGACTCCAGTGGAATGTCACCTCCAATGGGAAGCCCTTCTTGCCCTTCTGGGGCCTCCTCCAGGACTGTGTGGCCACCACTACATGCAGTACCTGCATCCTACCTTCTGGTTTGCCCACTAAACATGGCCTGGGACGGATATCTTAGCTACGTTGTGCCTCAGTATTCTCATCCATAAAATGGGAATAATTACTGCATCTGCCCCCAGGAGTTGTTGCAAAGTTGCAAGGATTAATATACAGAAAGCATTTGGAGTAACTCCTGCCACATAAGTACCTGATAAAAATGTTAGTATTATACCCCCACTGAATTTTAAGCACCTTGAAAACATGCAGTGTCTTATCTCCTTATCCTCAGCGCCCAGCACACAGTAGGTGCTTAACAATCGTGTACGGCAGGAATGAATGAATGGGGACTGCTATTTCTGGTTGGATTTCTGCCTCACCCCCCGAGCTCACAGGCTCGGGAGCACAGAAAGCACATGCGTAGGGGCCGGCACCACTCCCTGTCCCAGCACAGCCCGGTTCACAGCACACGTTTGGTCATGACATGTGGACGGTGACTCTCGGCCCGGACCTGCTCCTCTTCCCTGCGTGGGTCTCTCAGCAGCAGTCACGGTAGTGGGAAAAGACCCTGGCGCCACCCTGTCCTCTGGGTCTCCCTGTAGCGGCCGAAGGTCAGGCTGCCAATGCCGCAGCACCTCCCTTCCCTGGAAGGCTGACCTCATAGAGTCTCATGCCCAAGTGCCTCCCCCAGAGACCCGAGAGGTCCTGAAGATGGGGCTCCCCTCTTCTGGGCTCTTCGCCAGTCCCCCGAGCTGCCCCCATACCTGAGCCTCTTCTTCCACTGGGCTCCGTCCGGGGGGCTGCCTTCTGGCCGTGGGGCGCCTTCGGGGGCTTGTGGTCAGGGGTGGGGGCCAGGCCCGGGTGGGCCTTGCTCGCACAGTCCAGGTCAGGGATGGCCTTCAGCAGCTCTGCCTGGGTCTCCTCCAGCAGCCGGTTGATGTCCTTGGCACTGTACTGGGTCAGGGCTGCCCGCTTCTCTTCCCAGTCCCGCTCGGCAGCCTTCAGAGAAGAAGTGAGAGTCAGCACAGAAGCAGCTGCCCGCTCCTGGCCTTAGGGCTACGGCCCCTTCCTCCAGCCACACACGCCAGGACGGAGACAGGCGTTTGACCTGGCCCCCGGGGGGCCCTCGGACTTCTCCTTGAGTCTCCCGGGTAAGTCTGGAATGCCGCCTTGGTCGTATGCTACTTTCCTGATACACTTGGCCTTGTCTGGGGACGTGCTATTCTGCTTTGTTGACCACACAGTCTATTCTTATGCCAGCACCACACTGCCTTGATTGCTAGAGCTTTTACAAAATGCTTTTCTGTCTGGAAGAACTAATGCCACCATCGATGTGCTTCTCAGACGTCCTGCTCCCTCAGGAAAAAGTACCCACGTGTTGGCACTTCCCAATCTAGGATGATGGCGGTAAGAATGTGTGAGCCTGGCTCGTGCCTCTCCCCACCCCCCAATCCCTGGCCCAGCACCTCGACAGACACAGCCTTGTCCACGCTTCTCTTCCCAGTAGCGTCCAGGCCTTTGGTGGGGTTGCTCTTAGGAGTAGGAGGGGCCCCCTCAGCCGGCCCACTCAGCTCATGGAGGTTCAGTGGAGGACTGGGGGGCGGCATTTCGAAGTCCAAGCTCTTGTTGAAGTCCGTCTCGGCCGTCACCTTCTTGGGGGACTGATTCAGGAGGTTGTTGGGGGGTGGCCACACGCCCTCGTCCACTTGCCTGGGGTCGGGAGAGTTAGGAGCGGCTGTGAGACCCACGTGTTGGGGGCCCCGTGCAAGGGAAGCCTGGCCTGGGGGAGGCAGGGTGTGAGGGGGGCTCTGGGATCTTGCAGCACAGATGGAAGGGCCCGGGGAGGGGTGACTGCATCCAGCATAAGGGAGAGCCAAGCCTACGCCACACCAAGGGTCACAGGGCAGAGTTGGGTTCAGATCCAACTGGCACATCAGTGACCAGAGAAGTCAGGATAAGGGGTCAGGCCGATCTACTGATCTACGCCCTGTGTGTGTGGCCTCCTGGGAAATCGGAGGTCAGAGATAAGAGGTTGGGGATAGAAAGACCTTCGGATCTGGGCCAGCATGTCTGTGACCCCACGGCAGCGCTTGAGTAGCCCGTCTAGACGCTGTGGCTCCTCCTTCAGGAACTTCACAGCCTCCACTTCCACTCGCAGCACTACCCGCATCTTGCTCTGCAGGCCTGGGAAGTGAGCTGAGGGGACCAGAAGGAGTGATCTGGGGAGGGAGCCGCTCCAAGGACAAGGACAGAAAGGATGGGCAGCAGTGAGGGCAGCGCCTGGGAGTAGGGGACGGGGCGGGGGGTGGGGGGGGAGGGGCGGGGGGAGTGCAGCAGGGACTCCACCCTGAACCGAGGGCCACACTCTCGCCTCCAGGCTCACCCTTGAGCTCAGTCAGCGTCTCCCCAAGCTGCTTCAGCACCAGCGCCTTCTCCTCCAGCTCCGGCCCGGGCACCAGCCGGTGGTTGTGGGACACATCCCGTTGGATCTTCTCCACTGACTTCTCCAGGTCACTGCAGCCAGAGAGAGAGAACTCTCAGCCCTTCTGGCCCCAGCCCAGCCCCCAGAAATTGGGCAGCTGGAAAGAAATCAGACCACCGGTCAGATCACAATTAAAAGCCATTCACCAGGCTGCACGCCCAGGTGAGATCAGAAATGCCAAACCTCAGAGATGGAGCTTCAGAAGAATTTCCTAATAGAGGCCCTGGCTCCTCCCCTTCGACGTTCGAATTGTTAGCAATATCAGCTCAAATCTCCCTCCCTATAACTTGCATCCTCAGCTTCTCAGTCTGCCAAGGAGGCAGCAGAGAGCCTGGCAGCCTTTCAGGGCACTGGAGGCCACTGCATGTCCTCCTGTGGGGTCTCTTCTCTCTTGAGGGGTGGCCCCTGCCATGTCCATCTACTTTTTCTCAAATGATCCAGGCACTCAGCCTCTTTCCTTGAGGACAAAATTGTTTTCAAGTGTCAGCAGGTTTATGCTGAGCTTGTGCCATTTAAAACCCCACATCTTGGGGTGCCTGGGGAGCTCAGTCAGTTAAGCAGCCGACTTCAGCTCAGGTCACGATCTCACAGTCTGAGTTCGAGCCCCACATTGGGCTCTGTGCTGACAGCTCAGAGCCTGGAGCCTGCTTCTGATTCTGTGTCTTCCGCTCTCTCTGTCCCTCCCCTGCTTGCTCTTCTCTCTCTCTCTCTCAAAAAGAATAAACATTTAATGGGGCGCCTGGGTGGCTTAGTCGGTTAAGCGTCCGACTTTCGCTTAGGTCATGATCTCACGGTTCGTGGGTTCGAGCCCCGCATCGTGCTCTGTGCTGACTGCCAGCTCAGAGCCTGGAGCCTATTTCAGAGTCTGTATCTCCCTCTCTCTATAACCCTCCCCTGCTCACGCTGTCTCTCTCTCTCTGCTAGAAATAAATAAAAATATTTTAAAAAAAAAGAATAAACATTTTTAAAAAGTTTTAAAAAAACCCCACATCTTTTTTAAGAGTATTTTTTAAAGCTTATTTATTTTAAGAGAGAGAGACAGCGTGAGTGGGGGAGGGAGAGAGAGAAAGGGAGAGAGAGAGAATCCCAAGCAGGCTCTGCACTATCACCGCAGAGCCTGATGCGGAGCTCAAACTCACGAAACCATGAGATCATGACCTGAGCTGAAACGAAGAGCCAGACGCTCAACCGACTGAGCCACCCAGGAACCCCAAACACCACCTCTTTCTAAAACGTAAAATCACACCAAGTCATCACCCCTGTGTTGAGTTGAACCTTACAAGGATCCCATCATCCTGGGGCTAAAATCCAAGCCAAGAAGGGTGTGAGGGTAGTAGTTGAAAATTTGGCTCTAGAATCAGATCCAAATTCCAATTCCAGCTCTGCCCATCCCAGCAGAGACCTTGGACAAGTTACATACTATTTCTGGGCTGCAACCTTCTTATCCAAAACAGGGGGCATAGTGAGAGTTCTTCCCTCCAGGGACCATTGTGAGGATTAAATGAGCCAATACATGGGGCACGTGGGTGGCCCAGTCGGTTGAGCATCCGACTTCGGCTCAGGTCAGATCTCACGGTTCGTGGGTTCTAGCCTCACATTAGGCTCTGTGCTGACAGCTCAGAGCCTGGAGCCTGTTTCGGATTCTGTGTCTCCCTCTCTCTCTGCCCCTCCCCCACTCATGCTCTGTCTCTCTCTGTCTCAAAAATAAACTATAAAAAATTTTTTTAAAAAAATAAATAAATGGGCCAATGCACATGAGAAAGGGGTGATAAGGGGTCAGTCCCTTGGGGCTTCTCTTAGTGTCTTTGCAGCCACATCCCTTGTCTTCCTCTGGCTTCCTTCTGTTTAGAACTGTCCACAACTTCCCTGGGGTCCTTGTATGTGTTGCCTTCTCTAGGGCTCTGTGATGCCATTTCCTCTACATAGAACATTCCATTCACACATATGCACGCACACACTCATGCACACACATGTGCACATGTGACTAATTCTCACTCCTCCTTCAGGTCTCAGTGGGAACTTCTTCCCCATTCCCTACACTTGGGGCTGGGAGTCCTCTTTCTGCCTCCCTCACAAACCCTTAAAGCTCTTGAATGCTGGGCTGTGTAGCTCCTGGCAGGCAAGGAGGGAGCAGGACTTCTGGATTCATCTCCAATTCTACCTGGCACAGTGCCTGGAGCAGAATAGATGTCTAGTAACTAATTGTGGAATGAACGAAGAAGTGAAGGAAGGAACCGCTGCCCAGGTAGGTCATTTCAATTCTAGACTTGAGTCGCTAACATCCCCTGACCCACATGCAGGACTTTACACGCATTCTTGTCAAATCCCATCTGCTGGATTTCAGCTCAACCGTCCAGGTGGGAACAACTCTTGAATTTCGGTTCTACCCTGCAACAGATTTACTCCCCCTCAAAGCTCTGTGTCACTAGCAAATCTTATCAGCATGCCTATCAGTCTTCATCCAAATAGCAGATGAAAAGACAGACCACACTGGAGCAATGACACATTCCTGTGACTCAGCACTGCCAGTTAAAGAGCTGCCTATCTTGTACTACGCACTTAGTGTACACCAGGTGCCACATTCAGCCTTCCACTTTCATCACCTTATTTAATCCTCACAAAAAATCCTGGGCGTGGAAGCCATTATTACCTCCAGTTTACACACAAACAGTAGCTCAGACATTGGACTACATCTCCCAGCATCCCTGTGGTTAAGATGGCCAATGACTGAGGTCCAGCCAATGGAATGTGAGTTGAAGGCGTATAATGACCCTGTGCATGATCTCAGAAGATGGCAAAACTTCCATTAGCCTGGGTCCCTGAACGATTTCTTGGAAGACAGTTATTCCACTAACCCACCCAGTACTGTTCCGTGAGAAAAAGAAAAAACAACAACAAAAAACATATGTCTATTACTTTTGAACCATTACACAATTTGTTAGAGTAGCTGCCTTACTAACACAATGAATTCTGGCATTAAAAATGGGGGGGTGGCTCCTGGGTGGCTGAGTCAGTTAGGCATCAGACTTCGGCTCAGGTCATGATCTTGTGGTTCCTGAGTTCGAGCTTCACGTCGAGCTCTGTGCTGACAGCTCAGAGCCTGAAGCTTGCTTCGGATTCTGTGTCTCCTCTTTCTGCCCCTCCCCAACTCAACACTCTGTCTTTCTCTCTCTCTCTCTCTCTCTCTCTCTATCAAAAATAAACATTTTTAGAAAATTAAAAAGGGGCACCTGAGTGGCTCAGTCGGTTAAGCATCCGACTTCAGCTCAGGTCTGATCTCACCGTTCGTGAGTTTGAGCCCTGCGTCAAGCTCTGTGCTGACGGCTCAGAGCCTGGAGCCCGCTTCTGGTTCCGTGTCTCCCTCTCTCTCTGCGCCTCCCCCACTCACACTCTGTGTGTGTCTCTCTCTCTCAAAAATAAACATTTTTTTTTTTTTAAAAAAGAGGCTCAGGGAGATTAAGCAGCTTCTTGAAGGTCATACAACCATTTTGTGGCAAGGCAGAATCTACTCATGTCTGACTTCAGCCATTGCATTCTGCTGCATCTCACTCCCACACTGGATCTAGCATCACCCCATGCCCATGCCTGTCCCACCCAACCCTTGCTCTGCTACATGGGAAAGAACAGCTCTCCCCTGCTGCAGGTGACACCTAACTGGCTCAGGGTGTGTCAGCTTTGTAAAATGGTCACTTCCAGACATCACTCTGAGGGGAAGAGACCCTCATTTAAGGGAGGACTCAGGTAAGCCTTCAGGAGGCCACAACACTGCCACTCTCAGGTGGAAGAGACTAGGTCCTCCGTGGGCTCAATTAGCACCTCATTTTTTTTTTAATATATATATATTTTTTTTTATTTCTAGGAGAGAGAGAGACAGCATGAGCAGGGGAGGGTCAGAGAGAGAGGGAGACACAGACTCTGAAACAGGCTCCAGGCTCTGAGCTGGCAGTCAGCACAGAGCCCGATGCGGGGCTCGAACCCACGAACTGCGAGATCATGACCTAAGCAAAAGTCGGACGCTTAACCGACTAAGCCACCCAGGCGCCCCTAGCACCTCATTTTTTTAAGTAGGCTTCACACCCATTGTGGGGGCTTGAACTCATGACCCTAAGATCAAGACCTGAACTGAGATCAAGAGTTGGATGCTCAGCCGACTGAGCCACCCACGCACCCCATCACCTTGATTCTCTGATCATGAAACCTGCCGAAGTTTTGGGAGACCTAACTTGCGCAGGCGGTGCAAGTCTAAACGCCATTATCACAAAGTGGCTGGGCTTTCCAGACCCAGGTTCAGTGATGGAAGGGTGAAGAGGGCAAGGTCAGGTCAGAACCAGCTCTGTAATTTATGGGGCACGGTAAAAAAATGAAGATTTTGCCCCTAGTTAAAAAATCATTAAGAATTTCAAGATAACAACAGTGAAGCATTCGGCCATTAACAGCATGGGGCCCTGTGCGACTGCATGTTCAGATGCCTACTAAGCTGGTACTGGGTTAGTTCCAATTAGGCTCCAGAGGCCAAAAGGTCTCATTTAACAGAGGGTAATGTCTAGACAGGGATCAAGTGCTTGGGTAGAAAAACAGGTGAGAGAGCCAAGCTGAATGAAGCACAGAATTGGCCTTAACCTCCAGCAAGATGCTGGGGTGAGAGGAAGGGGCAGAGCAAGAGCAAGAATACAGGAGTTACAGCCAGAGTAGGGGTAAGGATGGGCCTGCTGCTCACCCTACTGCCCAGGGACGGTATGGGAGCTGGCGGCGGCGGGGGTGGGGGGGTGGGGGGGGAGGGCTCGTAGCCAAGCCAGACCCACTGCAGGACTGATGTATAGCCCAGCCCAGGCCGCCCCCCAAAAAGGCAGGAACCCCCTTCAAAGTGGATGGAGAATTCTGCCAGAAGCAGTGTCACAGCCCAAACTCTCTCAAGGGAGCAGTATGAACAGGGGGTTGATAATGGGACAGAGGACAGGAAGTCTCTGTGCTCCCAGAGAACTGAGGCCCCCAGGAAGCTGAGGACCAGACATGCATATGACAGAAGCTTAAATCTGTCCTTTCATCTCTTCTGCCTCTATGCTTTTATATTTTCTTTTATTTTCCTTTAATGTCTCAGTAAAATTCCTTTTAAAATTTCTAACCCCGGCTCCTCTGTGCTGAGTGAAAAAGGGGCAAGGAGGGGACAGTAAAATTGGGTCGATGGAATTCCCTGGGTGAGGGCCGATGGCGGCCGTCAGTCTACTTGGAGATCTGACTTATGTTGTCACTAAGCTTTTACACCTGAAATGATGGGGTGGCTGCCGCCAGCTTACTTCCAAGTGAGCTGGCCCCTTATTTCACGTCAGCCACAAGGGGTCACAGGAATCTCTGTCTTGTGCCCTACTGAAATGCACAGGCTGTGTGGGCCCAAGGCGGAGAAGTAGGGACCTTTCTCAAGGAACCCCTAGCAAGCTGGGACCCTTTGAGGAGCCTCTCCTGGCTCCCCAAATCACTGGCCAGTAGAACTCAAGCCCTCTCTGGAAAGAACTGCAAAAATCTTATTGGGCACAGATAAGGAAGGTGAAGAGCGGAGAAGGGCAGAACCTGCCCTGATCACACAATCTCTCGATGCTGGAGCTGGACTTCGGGTCCCTTTGTGCCCTGTGCCACCACGAGGGAGGCTAGGAAAGGAGCAGGGCCTCTGTCTCAGACCCCAGTGACCAAGGAGGGAAGGCTGACGTGGGGTGGGGGTGCTCACTCAGCGGCCGGCCAGCAAAAGGCAGCTTCTCCAATCAACAGTGCCAGACAATGGAATCTTGGCCAGACAGCCATTTGCTAAATTTGGATCAGAGGATGGTCTCCGTTTAACCCTTCCACATCCAAGCATCTGGGAGCAGGATGTTCTCGGTTCCTCGCTCCTTGTGAGAAAACTAGAGCCTTGTTTCAGTGGACTAGAGAGGAGGAGGGTTTTCCTTGGCTACGTCTGGCCTCAGAGATCAGGGAAGTGGAGGGGCGCCTGGGTGGCTTAGTCGGTTAAGCGTCCGACTTTCGCTTAGGTCATGATCTCGCGGTTCGTGGGTTCGAGCCCCGCGTCGGTCTCTGTGCTGACTGCCAGCTCAGAGCCTGGAGCCTATTTCGGATCTGTATCTCCCTCTCTCTCTGACCCTCCCCTGCTCACGCTGTCTCTCTCTCTCTCTCTCTCTCTCCTAGAAATAAATAAAAATATTAAAAAAAAAAAAGAGAGAGAGAGATCAGGGAAGTGGAGTGGTGGCATCTGCGGCTACTCAAGGGACACTTTGTACAAGTCACAGGCCGGAATGAAAGCAGGCAGAGGACAGACTGAAATCCTGCAGCCGGCCACATGAAAGTAAGGCTGCAGGTCAGGGGGCAGCCAGACTGTGGATCATGAGGAAGCAAAAGCATAGCAAAAGCAGGGCGTCCAGCCAAGAAGAAAAGAAAGAGAAATCAGGAATTGTGCCAGATGGTCAAAGGTTTGTGGGTCACAGAGAAATCAGGCCACAGAGAAGAAGGAACTCAGGCTTCAGACCAGGCCAGCGTCACCTGTGATGCAGAAAGAAGGGAGCTGCACCTCCCAGGGAAACCAGGCTGTGGGCCCCGGGCCGCACCCACACAGCCCTCCCTCCGCCCCGGGGCCCAGCCTCACTTAAGCTGCTGGGTAATGAGCTCCTCGTCGTTGAGATAGCGCAGCCGCTCCTCCTCCACCAGGGTGCGCTGCCGCTGCAGCGGGTCCTCCTGCCTTCGCGCAGCCTCCGACACGCGCATGCTCAGCTCCGCCTCTGTGCCTTTCAGCAGCGCGCGCAGCGACTCCAGGTTCTGTAGCTGCGGGGCGCAGAGGGACCGATGGGCCAAGGTGGGAGGGAATGGAGGTGCGCAGCAGGGGACGGGCCGGGAGGAGGCGGGCAGAGGACAGCCGGAGGCTGGGCGGGCTCCACGGAAGGAGCGGCTGCTCGGCTGCGGCCGCGAGCAGCAGCGAAGGGGTGGGCTAAATTCTGGGGAAGAATAGAGGCAGGAGGAGAAAGGCACGGGGACAGTGGAGGGAGAAGTGCCCAATTGGAGCATGCGAGGGTGCGGCGGCGTGGCTGTGGCTGTGAGCAGCAGCCAAGGGCTATGATAGTAAGGGGAGGAGGACAAGGTTACGCGCTGGGCAAATACAGAGACGGGGGAACGGGATGGGCAACTTTGGAGGGCAAGAGGTAGCCCTATGTAGGACCGTGCCGACCGTGCGGCTGCATGGCTGTGGCTTCGATGGGAGACTCAAGCACTGGGGTTTGATAGAGTTTCCGTGGCTGGGGCGAGGAGACTAACTTAACGCTGGAACCCAGTTCTAAGGCTGTGTTGGGGCAATGGCGGGGGTGGGTGAGATCTTATCCGTTGCCCAGATGGCAACTCTCTGCCCCCTCTCCAGCCTGTCTCTGTTCATTATTCTCACCTGACGGGCCCTGGGACCTCTAGAGGAGCGGGCACAGCGATGCCAGGCTCCTGACTGGTGGGACCATCTGCCAGATGGGGGAGGGCGGGGAAGACTGTGCGGACTCAGGAAGGGGTAGCAGAGGGGATCTAGGAGGGGGGCGGGGCTTCCGCCCAAAGGAGGGGAGGGGACAAAGAATGGTGGGCAAGAAGGAATTGGGACTACCCTGAGGATACTGACTGGGGGAAAGGGCTCAGGAGGGGTGGACTGGGGCTCCAGGGGAACGGTGAGTTTTTGGAAGGGGTAGGAGGGCGCAGTGAAGACAACAGGGCCAGCGGTGGGAAGGTGTTTCGGCGTGAGTGGGAGGGTTGCGAGGGGGCGGGGCACCGGGCGAGGCCCCAGAGCTGGCCGAACCTGGAGCTTTCGCAGTTGCTGAAGTTGGCTGCGCAGGTCACTGGTGCTGTTCTGCAGGCCACGCAGGTGCAGCTGCATCTGCAAACGGCTGATGGAAGTGGGCTGCCCCGCAGGAGTGCTGCTGGCCGAGGGCGGGGGAGGGCCGGACACTGGGGTGGCCCCACTGCTCCGGCTCCCTGACCCACAGGCTGCAGAGAGGGACCACGAGGATGGGAGAAAGGGAACAAACCTTGAGCCTGCAAGGGGTCCGGACAAGGTCCTTCCCACCCCGGATCCTCACAGTAGCCAGGGAAGCACGCGGCTCCAACTCCCTGCCCCACCTAATGGCTCAGCCCCTCTGTGCGGAGCAAAGCACCAGGGTAAAGGCATTTCGGGCTAAGGTGACTGCTCACTGATCCACTGAAGGCCAGTGATGTAGCTGATGGCTCAATTCCCACTTTACAGGTTAGGAATCTGAGGCTTGGAGAGGGCAGGTACCTGTGGGGGAGGGGCAAAGGGTCACTCACGTGCTGAAGGGGTCCCTGCTCCATTGGAGCCTTCAATCTTCTCGCTGTGTGGCACAGGGAAAAGATGGCCATCAGTGGGTCCAGGCTGACCCCATACCATCAAAGCTGGGTGAGACTTTAATCTCCTCCACTCCCCTGATGTTAGGATGGAGTCCCAGAGAAGGAAAGGGGCTCACAGAATCAGACACAGAGACACTGGAAGAGCTGGGCCAGGCCTCTGTGCCCACCTTCCCTTCCTTTTGCCCCAACTATAGGCACTGGCAGTAGTGTTGAGAGAAGAGTCTTACCTGGGGGTGTCAGGCTCCGAGCCTCGCAGTAGGGCACTCTGTACCAGGCCTGTGAGGCTGGCAATCTGCTTCTCCATGGCCTCCATGCGCTCCCTGGAAAGGATGGTGGCTTTAAGCAACCCCTTCTCTGGTTATGGGATCCCTCTTGCCAAAGCCCCCATTCCTAAGAGTGATAATTAAAGGAAATACCATTCCCTTCCCAGCCACCAGCACAGACAATTCAGAGGGCCCTAATGCCTAAGGTTCAAGCCCACAGTCCCCCACCTAACATTAGTAAGGTCCTTTTCCATCCAACAGTCATTTCCTTCCTTGCCAGCCCCATCTCTCAACACTGGCTCCCTAATGGGCCCCACCCGGGGGGGGGGGCTGCACATGTGGCATGTCCTCCTTCCTCCCTCCTCAAGGCCATTCCAGAGTCTTCAACAGCTTTAAGGAGTTCGTCCTCCCACACCACCTGTATACCTTCTCAAAGGAAGTGCAATTATTTTTTTTTAATGTGTCATCCCCACTAAACAAGGTAGGAACCAGGTTTTCCCAACCTGGCATCCACAGTGCCCAGTGCAGTGCCTGGCACACAAGCCACAAGAGAGCCGTGTGAATGTGAATGGCTTCTCCACATCTCTGTGGCACTGCCTGAGGACAGAAGGGGACAGGTCAATGCTCTGGTTACCTCCTCCAGCCCTGCATCCTTAGTATGGGGCTGAATAATGGGCAAGAGTTCCCCAGCTTGGAGCCACCTAATGGAATGTGCCTCTCTCCCCGTTCCTATTTCTTACCAGCACCCCCTCCCCAGTGGACTTCAGCTGACTGTGTGCTGGACAGCTCTCATGCCTGCAAACTCAGCAGGAAAAGCACCGGAGTGCTGGTTCAGCCTCAATTTCAGTTGGGGGAACTGAGGTTTAGGGATCCGATGCACACGCAGGTCTCCAGGGGCCTGGTCTGGGGCCCTTTCATCCAACCCCTCCAGGTCTTGCAGAAGGAAGCAAAATAGCATGTCCGTTTCTCCAGTGCCTTCCCTGCCATATCCAAATTATTCCAGTGAACTCTCAAAGCTACTCTGGATCTACAAAGGACTCTGGGGTCTCACAGTCCAGGACACAATCCTGCCACAGACTAAAATGTGTCCCCTCTCCCTACCCCACCCCCAACAGCCCTGAGGCCTCACGAGCGTCCCTCACCTGGTCTCCGTGTCCTTGGCTGGCACCGGCGGCCCAAACCCAACGAGCGGGCGCTCCCCAGGCCCGGGGAAGAGCTCGGGAGGCGGGGCTCCGGCCGTCGAGGAGCCCCCGGCGCTGCGGGTCTTGCCTCCGGGGCTCTCTGCGAAGACCGACGAGGAGCCCGAGTCTTTGCGGAAAGACTGGCGCACCGGTGAGCCGCGGCTGGGCGGCCCCGAGTAGGGACTGTGCGGCGGCTGGGGGCCTCCGGGGGGCGCCGCCACGTCGGCCAGCTTCTGGGGCGATGAGGGCGGCAGGCGGAAGCCATAGCCGTCGCCGTAGAGCGGGCCACCGCCCGCCGCCTTGTACAGCGAGTCCTCCAGGTCGGACTGCAGCGCGGCGGCCGAATAGGTGCTGAGCGAGCGCACAGAGCCGCGCTTGTAGAGGCCGCTGGCGCCCGGGTAGGCGAACGGGTCGCCGGCTGCCGCGGCCAGGCTCAGGCGGCCCTCGTGGAGCAACCCATAGGGGTCGGCATAGAGGCCCTCGCCCTTCACCAGCACCATGCCGCCCGCCTTGCCCGCCAGGTCCTCATCTGGCTTCACGTCGCGCCGCTCCAGGATGGCGCTGGGGCTGGGGCTGACGCCCTGGGCGGCGGGGGCGCCCCCCAGCCGCTCGGCCGCGTGGTGCACCGGGCTGCCAGCGTAGGAGGGCGGGCGCCCCCCGGCATAGGAGAGGCGCGAGCGCGACGGCGAGCCCGACTGCAGCCCGGACGGCAGCCCCGATGGCAACCCTGACGGCAGCCCCGACGGCAGCCCCGGCGGCGGAGAGCTGGACGCCAGGTGTGGTGCCGGCGACAGGTTGTTGAGACGCCGTGTGGGCGACGACTCCCTCGAGGCATACACCATCTCCCTCTGTGCAGGAGACAGTCCCAGAACCTCACAGGGTTAGTCACAAAGGGGATCCCTTGCCCCTTGCTTAAGGAAACAACATCTCCCCCCTGATGCTTAGGAAGTCCCTTCTGTTCCCTGCCTTCCCTCCCTCCTGCTGCATTTGGGCCCCTCTCCCATCACAGCTCCCAGGATGGAGGAAATGGCAGATGGAGAGGCACTAGAGGCGCAACCCCCAGCCCACTCTGCGGTGAGGGTTGGGGAAGCAGTGATCCCTGATAGAGGCACCCTAGAATATCTAGAGGCCTGCTGGAGAAATCCTGAATGCAGAGGTGGGGATCATGAGGGGAGGGACCCCTCCATGACCTCACAGTTGGTGGAAGCTACTCTCTGCTTCAGCCTCTATGTTCCCTTCTCCCAAAACTGGCCTTGATCCCTGGTGACAAGAAACTAGACTCTGCACCTGGACCCCATCTGCCCAGCCTCCCCAATGCCTTGGAGATCCCCAGCCATACCCGGAGGTCCCCGTTGGTAAGGTGTGAGCCAGGAAAAGCTGCATAAAGTGGCTCCTTCCTATAGATCTTGATAATACTTCGGTCCTGGATGTCCCTAGGAGAGAAGGGGAAGGTGCAATGGGTCACCATTCTCAGCCCTGCGATAAGGAGGGGTAGCTACTCCAGGAAGAGGCAGGAGGGGTGGCAAGAGGGGCCAAGGGCCCCAACCTCTTCCTAACTTCTTGCTCAGTGCTTCAGACTGCCTGCCATCAACACACACCCAAGAGCCTCCACCCCGCCCACCCCTTCGGCCTCGCGCGCCATCGTCAGGTTAGCTCAAGCCAAAATGAGCTAAGCAGGTGTGGATGATGGGGGGGCGGGGAGGGTAAGATGACCGAGGAAGGAGCGGGGAAGGACTGAGGTTGGCTCAGGAGGAAGCTGGGGAGGGAAAGGCCTGCGGAGTCGAGTCCGCCTCAGAGGAGGAGCCTGGGGAAGCCCACCCATGCCCCGGGGCCACGCCCACCGGACGTCCTCCAGCTCGTAGAAGACGTTGCGAGCTTCGTCTTTGATGAGGATGGCGGTGTTGGGCGACTTAAGCATGCCCATGGTGAGCTTCTGCGGGAACATGTGCGCGATGAGCGCGTGCAGCGTGTCCAGGCTGCTGACCTCGTGCGTGATGTGCACGCGCCGAGTCTCCTCCCCGAACTGCAGGAACAGCACCCCTGCGAAGGAGACGCCGCCCTCTCTGTCAGAGCTGCTGCCGTCGCCACCGCGGCCACTGCCGCCGCCGCCGCCACCACCACCACCACGGCCACCACCACGCCGTCTGGGAGAGCGAGGGGGGTCTTCGGGAGCCGCGCTGGTCCCACAGAGGCAGGGTCTGAGGCCAGATGCGGCCCCGGAGTGCAGGTGCACCCAGGCACTCCTCATGCTGCGCTCCTCTCCAGCACCTCCTCCACCCCAGGCAGGTAGCAGCCTGGACGAGGAAATGAAATGGGGGCGGGGGGAGGGGGTACAGGGGCAGGTGCGCCAGAAACTGAAAGGGAGTCGTTGCTGAGGGGAATGAAGGAAGAGGCGGCTGGCGAAGGGGATGAAGGAGAGAGGAGGCTGGGAGAGCAAGGGGCAGGGCAGGCGGTGCTGAGAGAGGGAAGGGGTGAGAGACAGAAGGGCTGGGAAGAGGCCCCAAGGGGAGAAGACTGCTGGGGGGCAGGGAAGTGGGAATGTGGGAAGGGAGGCAGGGGCTCGGCTTAGAAGAGATGGAATGGGGGGCGGTGAAGAGGGTTTCAGGGTGAACAGCGCAGAGGGAGGAGCCATTGGCCAGGGCTGGGCTGGGCTGGGCTAGCAGTACCTGGCGAGCGCAGCTTGGCCTGGCTGGCAGAGCGGGAGAGGGGCAGGCTCTGGCGGAAGCGGTTCATCCTACTGAAGCCCAGGGGCAGCTCCGCCTCCGACATGGTCTCCAGCGACTCAGCCGAGGCGTACGACAGCTTGGCTGCCTGGTCTGCCAGCCCGGGCTGGGCTCCCTGAGTGTGGCGTGAGCTGCGAGTCTGCAGGGGCAGGGCAGGATGAGAGGGATCAAACATGAGCCCCTTCACTCTGCCCATTGCCCCTATCTGGGCATAAGGAGCCCCTGCTGGCCAGTCAGTCACTCACACACACACACACACACACACACCAGTCTCCTAGATTCCAGACTCGCTGTGTGGCTACAGGAGAGTTCCCCAGTCACTTAGGGCCTTGGCCTCCCTAGGACACCCAGCAGGTAAGGAGTGAGCAAAGGACTCAGGCAACCTGGGAAGCCAGACAAGAAACCCTCTGAGCGGGAGCCAGGGCACGCCTGCTATTTTAAGCTTCCAAAGAACAACAACACAAATTTGTCACTGAGGTGAGCAGCAGAATCATTGAGCAAATTGGGGCATTAGTTCCAGACATTAATTAAGCGGCGGGTTTCTGAGCGGCGAATTTATCCTTCGTGGAGTTCAGAGGGTTGGCTGGGGGCAGGAAGCAGGGCCCAGGGAGGAAGTAAAAAGTATGGGGGGCCCCAGGATCCCAGCTCTGTGAGGTAGGGGCCCTCATAGAGGGACACAATATCCTTGACTTAGGGTGGCTGGGAAAACCATCCCAAGGCTAGCTCGACTCTGGTTTCAGACAGACCCTGCCTACTACCTGCAATGTACATGCTAAGCCTGGTGTGGTCCCCATGAGCACGTGGCCTATGTGCCCGGCCTCAGCCACTCCCTGCAAGAGGCACATGCTGCCACACAGCCACCTGGCCTGGCTTGCCTCCTGGAAAGGCCTCCCCCCCAGTGCCCAGCATGGCAGCCCCTTGCCCTGAAGCTATAGCTGAGGGTGCTAGCTGGCTGGGGCTAGGGAAGGGGGTCACCCAGTGACCCATCCCTTGCCCCAGGGACAGCTTGATTACTCTCCCCTCCAGGGAGGGGTCACCATGATTTCCATTACACTTTAAGAGCCTACATTTGGCTGAAGGCTGGGACTATCACTCAGGGTCACAGCTCCTGCCATTCTGCCCCAGCCCCTTCCCTTAAACCTGGGTGCTGTCAGAAACTCCATTGTTTAAGGGAGAAGATAATAAGTCAGATCTATGTTATGTACATTCCGTGTTATGTAGGATATACACGTGTATCTATTATATTTACATATATTATCAAGGAAAAAATCACGTTGTCCAATTGTACTTTTCTATAAAATAAGTTGTTTTTGACAAGTCGCTGAAAGCCGTTAACATTGGTTAAGTCAGGATTGAGACAAAGCTTTCTCTTTTATACGTTTCTCTGCTGGGTGAATTTTGCACAATCTGAATGTATCACTTTTATAATTAACAAAAGTAAAAGTATCTCTAAAAAGGAATCATTTATTCTCCTCAGCTTCCTCCTTCCCCAAATCCTGATTAGCCCCTAATTAATCTCCATCTTCATATTAACTCAATTTAATGTTCCCATTGGATTAGCACTCTGGAAAAGAGAGCGCATCTTCCTCTGATGGGCAATGTGCCCGGCTGTGCCCGAAGTGGCCTGGAAGGCTTGGGCAGGCGGAAGGTCAGATTTGGAGACCTCAGGGGGGGATTCAGTCTGAAGCACGATGCCTTGACCAGTGAGTGGGCATGGGTCGGTGGAGGAGGGAGGGCAAACGTAGGAACTAAGCCCACATGGGGGGCACATATACCCAGACTTTGGACCCCACGACTCAGCTCCAGGCTGATCACCAGTGCCAGCCTGTGCCCCTCTCTCTCACCTTCAGCCCCGAAGCAGTGTGGGGAAGCAGGACAGGTCTGGTGACCATGAGGTTGCCAGGCAACGGAAAGGCCAGTGGCTGCCAGGCTGAAGTGGAGGGGGGCCTACAGAATTCAGGCAGAATGAGGCAGCTAGCAGGGATGATGAGTAGGGGGTGGCCACAGTGCCTGGGGACACAGGTGAGGTGCCAGTAAGAAGATGGAGCAGGGGCCAGAAGGAAGTGGGGGATTCGAGGGGCTGCTGACTGCAGAGAAAGCAGGACCCTGTCCGAGCAACCCTTGGGAGAAGAGACAGCCACATTCCCTGTGCTGCTAGTGCCTGTCTCCATCTTGGCCCTAGGTGCACCTTTCCATTCTCACAGCCTTTGTCAAAAACCCTCTTGGGAAGAGAGAAAGCCCATTAGCACTTCTCTCTAGTCCTGGGCTGAGTCAAGAAGGCAGAAAAAAGCGAGACATCCAGGACTTCCTGTCTACGAAGGAGGTGACAGGAGAAGAAAATGGTCATTCAAGCAGCGCTCTCCGAAGATAGTAAGGGGCTGCTGTGGGAGCCGGTGCGCGCATGTCACTGGAAGTATTCCATCAAGGAGCCCATGACTCCTGGTCAGAGATCAGGCAGAGGGGACCCTGAGTGGGGACGGCCGCACCAGGATCCAAGGTTTCCAAAGGCTGTCCACCGACTGGGGCAGATTCACTTGGGAGCTTTTAAAAACATCCTCACTGGGTCCCCCACATTCACTGAACCCAAATCTCTGGGGGTTGGAGCCTGGAGTTCAGGATTTTTGACAAGTTCCCAAGGGGATTCTGATTTGGGAATCCAGTCAGTTTCTGTGATTCTAAGAGCTAATGAGGTGAACTACCATAGAAGGTTTGCCAGGAGCCAGGCCCTGTGATTAGGACGTGCAGTATCTCATCTCTTCTATCTTTACACCAATACTATGATGCAGATATTGTTGTTCCATTTTACAGAGGAGAAACTGAGGCCCAGGGGATTCTATAAGTTGCTTCTGGTCGCTCAGCTAGTTCAATAACAGACTGGAATACACCTCTGGGTTCTTGGACCCGTGCATCAAACCATTACATTCTGCTGCTTCCTCCAAAACAGTTACAGGCCTGACATCATGAGTCTATGACTCCATGATTTCTCTGATTCAAGGACTTCTCTCCGGGAGCATGCACGCAAACAAGATGCTTGGAGCGAGATGACACCTGGGGAGTTGGGGATGGATGCCTCACACCCCTTGTCACGATGCCTGGGATTTGGAGGGTCGGAGACTCAGGGGCACAGGTGGCAGCCTAGCTTGGTTCGGTTCTGGGCAGAGGAGGCACCCAAGGGCGCTACCCCGGGGCTCAGCAGGATGCCACCAGAAGGGCAGAGAGCTCTCCAGCTGTGGACAGTCCAAACTGTCCAGGGGAGGCAGGAAGGCACTCATCCCTGCGCTTAGCCCTCCACTTGGGCAACAGGTTTGGGGTGCAGAGCTGTGAGTCTCTTGCCTGGCACTGGCCAGCTCCCCATAGTGCCAAGGAGGAAAGGGATGAGGGGCGCATCACACACCCAATGCCTCCCTGGAAGATGAAAGCTGAGTCCAGAGAAGAGGACCCTCAACAAGATCATGGGGTTCCAGGTCCCTGCCTCGGAGCCAGCGGTGTCTCCAGACGGAGGCAAATGTAAGGAGGCCTCTCATTCCAAAATGCCCCTCCCAGCCTGGGAAAGCCTAAGTACCCCCAGCCTAGACCCCCAGCAGGGGTGGCCCAAACTCCCACTCGGGATCCACGAGCCCCTGGCAGGCGAACCCCGACTCTCTCAAAGCAGCAGCCACAGCCTGCAGCCCCAAAGCCCGCCGCCCACACCAGAAGGTCCCGTGCAGACGCACACCCCTGTGCAAAGCATGTGCAGGGGGGGCCAGGGGCAGGAGAGCACATGCAGTTGTCACGGAAGCAGAAGCACACACACTGACCTTGAAACTCCAGTAGTTTGGCTGCTGATGGAAATAAGAGAAGAGATGGTTATGCAGGGGTGGGGAGGGGAGAGTAGGGGTGGAGGTGGGTTAGAGACCCTCTGAGCTCAGCACTCAGCCTTGGGACCAGGCCCTCTGCCCCTCTCAGGAACAGCAAGGAAGCAGTACCTGGTACATCCCATTCCCTCCTGAGACCCAGGCCAGCCCTGGGCAGGCTCCAGGGACAAGGGACAACCATTCCAGATATGCACAAGCCACGCCTTCCAGTCATGGTAACTCAGAGAGTTATGGGTAGAAAAGGCGCCGATGACCATGAGACACTGGGAGAAATGAATCGGAGCTGTGGGGTCAAAGAAGCGGCATCTGGTTGTGGCGAGCCAGGAGAAACTTCCTGGAAGAGGTGACATTTGAGCTGGGTCTCGAAAAAAGGAGCAGCTGGAGATTGGGAGGAAAGGCATGCTGAGCAGAGGGGACAGCACGGGCAAGGGCCCAGGGCAGGCAAGCAGGGAGTGCGTGGAGGGAATCGTCGCTAGTCCAGTCTGGCTGGGGCGCGAGGCCTGGGAAGGTAGCAGGTTGGGCCGCAAAGAGGGGCTGGGGCCAGCTGGATGGGCTTCGATTTAGACTTCACTAGGGGGACAGGCAGGAAATATCTGAATGAAGCACTGTGGGGTCAGGACTGGAGTCCGACGGAGGGGGGGATTGATACAGCAGGAGGTGGAAGGGGGGGGCAAGGCCAGGGCAGGGAGGCCTGTGTACCACAATGGACTGGATTTACAGAGCAAAGTGGACAGTGTCTGTCACTTCGCAGTACTGGGCAATGAATGGGGAGCCAGGGGCAGCAAGGGGGGCTGTAGAGACTGGGAGTGTGGACAGTGTCCTCTGGTTGGAGAGATGAGGAAGGCTCCCTGCACCCCTAGAGTAGGGGACCTCAGGCTCCTCCTCATTCACAACGCCCTAGGGTCACCCTGTCTTCCCTAGAGACCAGAAGGCCCTTCCAGATGGCTAAGGACAAGGGAGGAGGCCAGAGGCTGGGCTGGTTCTTGGCAAAGCTGAGGGCACCCTGCTGACCGGTGCCAGCCTCAGCAGGGAGACAGAGGCAGCAGATGGCCTGGCACTGGGGTGCCTGGCACAAGCAGACAAGATCCACCGGCCTCAGAGCCACTGGCAGAGAAGAGGGACACTGAGTGTTCCTGATAAGGGCAGGACATCACGGAGAGGTACCCTGTGGCACCTGAATGCTTTCACGGCTGAGAGGAGTAGGTTGGAGGCTGAAGCAAGGGGTGCTGCTGGGATGGAGGCTTTACCCGAGTTAGACCCGAGTGGGGGTGATGCCAGGCTCGGGCTGGGGTGAAGATTCACTCCCCAGGACCATCCCTGTCCAAGTTACAATTCCCATCTCTACCCCCAGCAGTGGCTCCGAGAGACACAAAAGACAGTCACATGCCAGGCCAGGGAAGGGGACAGCAAAGTCTGTGCCCCAGCCAATGCCTAGAACAATCTATGGACACACGCCACCCCCATGGGTGCCAGGGGCTGCCCACAGGTGCCGAGGGGAGAGGAGGCAAGAGGCTGGAGTAACGGGTCCTAGCCACAGCTGCCCGTGGCCTTGGGAAGGGGAGGGGTAGCAGAGGGAGTGGATGCATGGGGGGCAGGCAGAGCCAGGCAGAGGGCACGGGAAGGTTTAGGATGGGAGTCATGTCTGCAGGCCTGGCAGTGATGGACGGCTCTGCAGAGAAGGCCGCCGTCCCTCCTCTACTGTCACCACCACACAGTGTACAGACAGGCCACCCACGGTGCCCCGAGATACGCAGGCCCCACGCGGAGCTGAGCACAGACTCTCAGATGTTCTCGGATAAGGACATCGCCACAGATACACCCAGAGTAACAAAAACACACTCACAAAAGGACACAAGCACTTGGAGAGAAGCCCTCCAGGGCCAGAAACAACCCCAGAAACTCAAGAGATCTTCATCCAGAGAGCAGTGTCACTCATGCACAAACACATACCTACCCCCCACAGGTCCTTGACTTGCTCACACACACTCCGACTCCACTCACAGAAACACGGAGGCACCAGTACCATTCACACACCCGAACATGTACATCCCGAATGCACAGAGACATGGGTACTATTCACAGGTATGTGTGCGTGCACACACACACCCCCAGCTGCAGAAATACACAAAACAGCACCCACACAATACACACATACAAAGAGAAGGTCTCATCCCTCCTTCCCCCTACTCGCCAGGCCATGGAGCCACTGTCGTCTGCCTATGACACCCCAGACACTGTGCGTTAGGGAAGCAGAAGATCCCCCGCCCCCACTCAGCCCCCAGGGTCAACACATCAGACTCAGTATGTGCAGGTGGCTGGGGCCCCCTTGTGCCTCTGGGGCCTGGCGACAGCCACACCAGCTGTGCCCTGGGCACGGGCCTGCCGCAGACTCCCGGGGCCAGGCACACCCGTGGGGCAGTCAGACTCGGAAGGGAAGGGTCCCTAGCTGGGGACAGGGTAGCCTCAGTGCCACAGGAAAGGCCAGGCAAGCCCCGCTAGAGGGTAACGACAGAAGAACTGCTGCATTGTGCTCGGCAAACTCGGGGTGAGGCTGAGATCAGACTTCGGAGACTGGGCTCTGGCCTGTGGGGCACGCTGAGTAGGTCCTGCCCTGCGGCCTCTCTAGAAAGTGGGAACAAAGATCCTCTTTTATGTTGGCCCCACCAGGAGTAAGACACATGGTCTCCTGGCAACTCAGTGTCCTTGGGGGGAGGACGGGGAGGAGAGGGGGACAAAAGTGGGGAGAAGGCCCTAGGAATGCCGTCTGTCCTCTGTCTCTGTCTCTTTCCAGGGTGTTAAAGAGTCTTGGGTGACGGAGAGCAGAGAGCTCCCCCTCCGTTTGCCAAGGTGGGGTTCTCCCATCCTACCTCCTCACCCTTTCCCTGGTTGTGCTCCTCCTGCGTGCCTGACACAATGCCTTGTGTGTAGTCGGCCCTCAACAAATATTTGACCATGAATGAATGCGAAGGAGACAGGACCAGTCCCTAGGAGGGGAGGGGATGTCTCTGAAGAGTCTTGTCTGGCACGGCTCCCACCATCTCCTGGCACCCAGCATTGCTCAGCCTTCTGGGCCTTTCCCCTGGGAATTTCCCAGCACCAGAAACCGCCTGGAAGGAGGGTAAAGGGCAGGAAGAGCCCCAGAGAGCTCTGGCCCCTCGCCCCCAGCAAACGCTTCCAATACCAGGGAGAAGCTCTCTCCCACCTCCACACTCAGAGGTGAGGGGGTCTCCACTTCCCAGAGGACGCTGAGAAGGTGGGAAAAAGGAAGGTTTGAGTGGGAGAGCCCGTGCCAAGGGTAATTACTTGTAGGAAAGAATCTTACGGGAGCAGGGGGCAAAAGGAAAGGTGTTCTAAAGGATTAGATCTGGAAGCCAAGCATTCACTCTCCAGGGAAAAGGCTTTCAGAAAGGCGGGAGGGGGAGCTTCCCAGAGACCCAAAGAAGCAAGGCAGGGGAGTCCTCAAACTCCCAGGTGAGAAGAGGAAATAGCTTCTTCCCTGGGGGTGGGGTGGGGGGGCTGAAGAGTTAACCCCCTCCCTTCCCCACCTTAAGAGCCCTTAGTAGGGGTCTTTCCTCCCCCTGCAGCTGATCCTGGTCTCGGGGCTGAGCCCTGGGAGGGGCGGGCCGTGCCCCCTGGGAGCCTGAGTCCAGCCAGCTGAGGTCTCTCTCGCCTCCTCGGGCAGACGTCCCCTGTAGGCTAGGCGAGTTGCGTGACCCCTCCTTGACCTCAAGCCCCGACGACGCATTCTCCAGGGAAGGGAGGACAAGCAAACGGGTCGCACCACCCGCTCCTTAGTCCCCTGGCTCCGCGTGCACCAGCGCACACACCCACCTCTTAACTCCCGTGAACACTAGTCCACGTAAACACCAGCCCCCCAGGGCTACCTGATGTGCCCCCGCGTGGCTAGCCTCCCACCACGACGCATATTCACGACCCTGCCCCCAGGTATGCCCATCGACACCCTCCCCTCCTACCCCTCCAATGCAAAGCTGGGGGGGGGCGCTGCGGGACCTGCGCCGCGCCGGGGGCAAGGGCGCACCCCAGGAAGGTCATGACTTTCCGAGGTTGGGGGAGGGGGCGCCAGCCGCATTTCGGGGAGGGGGCCCGGCCCACACGGAAGGCTGCGAACGCGGTGGGGGAGGGGAGGGGGCGTTTCTCAAGGATCGGGAACAGCAAAGGCCTGCGCGCCTCCCACCCACCCCCCCCGACCGCCCCTCCGAGCCGCGGGTACGGCTCCCATCTCCGGGCCCCGCCGCCCGCGGAACCTCAGGCTGCGGCCCCGGCCCCCGCAGCCGCTCCTCCTTACCTGCGGCCACAGGTGGATGCACGGGGCCCCCAGCCCCAGGTCCCGCGTCCGGCGGGGGAGGGAGGGCGGGCCCCCTACTCCCACCCGCCCGGGCTCTCCCCTCCCCCGGCCGCCTCCGCAGCCGCCGCCGCCGCCGCCGCCGGTGCCCTTTGCTGCAATGCGAGAGCCGCCGCCGCGGAGCCGGCCCGGGCCCCGGTCGCCCCGGTAACCGCGACTCCACCTGGCGCGGCGCAGCGCGCCGCCGAGCACATCCTCTCTCCGGCCCCCCTCCCCCGGCGCGGCCCCGCCGGCGCAGCCCCGCCGAGGATCCGCGGAGGCTGGTGGCTGCGTCGCCGCGGTCACCCGATACGCCGGCCCGCCGCCCGGGACTCGGGTTGCAGAAGGAGGGAGGGAGGTTAGGCAGCCTAGTGGAAGTGGGGGAGGGGCTGCGGCTTGGAGTCTAGCTTCTGGGCCTCTCCCAGAGTCCTCTTTAGGCTCCCGCTCCCAAAGGTCTGGCCTACGGTTGGGGGGAAGAGTGTCCTGCCTCCTGACATGTCACCCTCCTGTTCATGGCCTCTCCCCATCAGGGTCTCAGCTGTGCGCCGCTGCCCTCCTCAACTCTCCAATGACTCCATTCCCAGCCAAGCCCGGGAGGCCTAGGGCACCTAAGCTTCCTTGATGGCCTCCGATCTCTCGTCCTGCTGTGTAATTCTGGCATTCGCTGACACTCTCTGATCCTGCACTTTACATAAAGAAGCCTCAGCCTCAGCCACGGGGAAGTCTGCTAAGCACTAAGTAGCAAGTGATGACAAGAGCCTATGAACAGCCGCTTTCCTCTGTAATGACACAGCCCTGGGGTCAGGGTCTTTTCAAACTCTGATGGAATTTCCTCTATCAGAGCAAATTCCAGATGTGGACAGGCCTAGAACCCCATGACCAGGGACATCTGAGCTCACCAAGCTCAGCCTCACTCCTCTCCGTCAACCACATCATCTGGGGAGGCCTCTGTATGCTCCAGGCACCCCGTGCCTGTCCTCTGCCCCATCCCCGTCCCTGTCCCAGCCCCGTTTTAGCCTCCATGTGCACTTGGCCCCGCAGGACAAGTCTATCCCATTTGCCATCCAGCCTTGGGGGCAGACACATCTTTGTTCCCCGAAGTTCAGTCAAGATGGGGCTGAGAGCCAGGAAGGGAAGTGGGCTGAATGCCCTGTGGGTGATGCCGAGCGTGCCAATCTGTCACTAGACTTGAGTTACACTCCGCTAAAACGTCCGTGCTCTGGAGCCTTGTCCTTTCCTAGGCTGTCACATCTTTCCTTCTAATTCTCCTTGAAAAAGTCAAGCCTGACTGCCTGTCCCCGGGGGAGCAGAACGTGTGAGGAAGTGAAGCTGGTACCCATGCTACCCATTGGATTCCTTGTTTCTGCATCTCCTCTGCCTCCTAGAGCTGAACGCCTTCAAGCCAAGGCCCCTTGGGGGTTGCCCCTTCCCTGCTGCAACTCTGACTCCCTGACCCCTCCTCCCTGTTTGGGCCCCAGGTGCCTACTTTCCTCCCATGGCAAGGCCCGGGCCTGGGCTGGGAACCCAAGCCCTGCCTAAGTGTGCTCCTGTCTAGGCTGCGACCCATCGTCCCATCAGGGAAACTGAGGCTTGATGAGGAATTAGGGAACAAACTCAGAACGAATAGCTAGATGCCAAAGTCCTCTCAAATTAAAACTGGAAACTAAGCCTTGAACATACCGAGAAGGGTGGTAGAGAGACACTGTGAAGAACTTCGTGATGGTAAGACATCAGGGGGAGGTTGGTTCTGCTCAGAGATGGGAAGGTAGGGTGGGGATATGGGAGTGAGATGGTGGTCTGCTGTGGGGGTGGGAACGGAGTACAGGGCACAAGAGTCTCCTGTTTAAAGGAGAAAAGAATGCAAAAAGTGTTTTCAAAACCTGAGTACTCCTCCTCAAAAAATCCTTCCCCAAAGCCAAACCGTTGGGGGAGGCAGTGTTCGGAATCAGGTAATTGGGGGAGAGAACGGGGGATAGGAGTCTCCTGAAATCAGAGGCTCCTATATAAAAGAAAGGGATGCAAAATTAAAGTCCTGGGTATCCTCTCTCTCAAAAAAAAAAAAAAAGTCTTCCCCAAAGCCAAACTCCTCCAGGGGTTTGGGGGGTGTGAGGGAAGTGGGTGACTCACCTGGGCCGGCTGGCCAGCCCCGGAGGGGGCGGAGTCGCCATGGAGGTGGGAGCAGAGGGAGCTGAGGAGGCACACGGGGTCCACGGTCCAGCCGCCAACCTGTGTGTGCGAAGGGGGGACACCCCATTAGGGGGAGCGGGCAGGAGCCGCTGGGGGACTGTGACGGGGCGGGGAGGGACATTCCTGGGGCAAGCTTTGGCATGGACCTCACACCCCAGAGGGACCTTGCCCCACTGGCTGGTTCCCTGCCCAAGGCTGGATCTCTAACTAGAGCCCCTGGTCTGTTTCCGGATGTTTCTCTTATGTCTGACTGGGGGCTGCCTGAGCCCAGGAGAGGGTCTCCTCTGTCAAATATGCCTGAATTCGCTTTCTTCAATTTTTTTTACTGCCTCCCTGTACACTCTGCTGTTCCTCACCTGTCCGCTCCTCCAGCTCCTCATTTCCTGTGCACAGAGGATTCACCTCGTACCTCACAGAGATGGGAACCCGTCCGCAGGGGTCCTCACCCCCACTTGCCTCTGCGCTGACAGCACCTCTTTCTTCCCTGCTGTCTCCCAACCCAAGGCCACACCACACCTAAGACTTGAAACTCATTACCCCAGGACCTTTCCCCCAAGGCCTTCCCCCGCCTCGGCATCGCCAAATTCATTCACCTTCATTCATTCCACTAACATTCACCCAGCCGGCACCACGCTCAGGCACCGAGCCCTCCATGGCAAGGGAGACGTCTGTAGATCCTACCCACTCACTCTACTCGACGGAATGAATGAGTGAATGAACCAAGGAATGAATTTGTGAGCGAGTTGCTGTGCTTTGACTCATTTACCAAGTGTTTGCTGAGTGCCAATCTGTGCCAGCGAATGTGCCCGACACGCCTGAGGCCCTCAAACGCACCCATATCTTGCCTCTCGGGCCTGCTGCCCCTTGAGGCCATCACCCCTGCTGTCATCATCTTTTTATGGCCAAACCTCCCAGACTGCTCTGCGCCACAGCTCTCCCGCCACCTCCAATCTCCTCAACCCCTGAAGCTGGCCCTGACCTTCATCACACCATGAGAAACGAGGGGGAGCCTCTGAACACACACAGGTCCCAGCCGGTGCTGATGATGGCTGTTTCTCTCTCCCCCTCACTCTTGACTTCTAAAGCACTGGTGGTTCTTCTGCAGGGCCTTTCTCCTCCTCCTCCACACTGTCATGGCCCTCTCCCCTGTCAGACTCCATTCTGCCGTGGTGGCCGTGCTTATGCCTCGGGTACCGCTGCCATTCTGCCCTGATTATGCCCAACTGTTCTCCTGAAGGTACTGTCCATCCAGTCTTGGGCCGTACCTATGGCGCCCCAATGGACAATCCCTGTGAAACTCACCTCCCGTATTCCGGTCTCCCCCCCCAACATTTCCCTTCCACCCACTTATTCCTCCCCAAGGCACCGACAGCTCCCTGCCACCCAGATTTTCTGTCTTTGGCTCCTCCGTCCAGGCAGCAAACAAGCCTTGCTCAGTCTTCTCTCCAACCCTCCGTCTTTTCACCCTCTCTAACACATTCTCTTCCTCTTCTCCTTCTTCCCCTATTCACCACCCAAAAACAACCAAGCCCTCCTAGCCACCGCCATCTGGCCCCACTTTTCCAGTCTGCCCCCACACCTCCCACTGCCTCCCTTCTGCACCAGTCAGGTGGGCTTCTGTACCGGTCCCCAAACCAACTCAGGACCATGCTGGCCTCACAATCTTCCCTCCTCCTAAAATGACATTCTCTTCCTCGATGCCCATTCAGACCCCTTTCGTCCTTCTAAACCTAGTTTAGGCCCCTCCTTCTCCAGGAGTCCTTTCCTGACCAGGCCTGCTCACCTGGTCTCCTCTCCTCCAAACCCTCTCCCAACCGACTCTGCCCCCTCATCCTTCAGTGTAACCCTTCTTCCACCTCCTCCAGGTCACAAATGCCCCGCCCCTCCTCCCAAGCCAGAGCACACAGAAGGAACCCGCTGAGAGGGGCTTCCTGAGGGTGAGGGCCATATCTCCAGCTGCAACTGTCCCCTATTGCAATCAGAACTTTGCTCCTAGGAGGACTCTGAAGCTGGGGAAAGGCAAAAGCAAGACCTAACTGGAGGCGACATCAGGGGCCACCTGCAATGTGTCCCTGTTCCCTGCTGTGACAATAGGAACGGGGACACTCTTCCCCTTTCCCAGCCACACCCAGCAGTACCTGGGAAGGGGGACAGAGCAAGAAAGGTGTGTGAGCTGGGGCTGACACCCCCAGGCTTGACTGCAATAGTGTGGATGAATGTACTCCCCTCCCCCACTTCCCTTCTCCCCATGGACAATGCCTGGGTCTCAGCAGCCATCAAGGCATCTCGCCAATGTGAGACTGTAGGCAGAAGGCTAGCCCCAAGAAAGAACTTTCCTACAGACAAGAAGGTCATAGTTGAATGGAGAGGTGCATCCAGGGACCCAAGGATCTGGGAGAGGTTTACAAGTAAGTATCCCACCCCATATAGAAGGAGACAGGCCCTGGTCTAGAGGCAGGGACCCTGACTCCTCTGTAAGCCTTACTGATGGCAGGAGAGAAACCAAGGCACAGAGAGAGGCAGCCTCTAGCTCGAAGTCACACAGTGAGTCTTGGGGGGAAGGAACAGAGAGGGAAGAGATCAAAGGCCCCAAGAGTTCTGGGCTCTGTTCTTGCAGGGGCTGAGACCATAGGCTCAGACCCAGCCTATGGAGGCTCCCAAGGGGGCCACGTCACAGAGGTGCCAGCCCCAAGAGCCTCAACTCCAGGCTGGAAGGACCTTCAGGCTCAAAACAGTCAGCCCCTGAGACTGTGTCCTCCTCCTCCCCACCACATCTTTGGCCTCCAAGACAGCCTTCCTGCCCTTCTGCCCAGTCCAGCAGCATCTCTGCCTCTCTGCTCAATCCAGTGCTCCCAACTCCCTGACGCAGCGGTGTGGAGGCCGAGCCCTCACCCCCTCCTTCTTTCCCAGGCTCCAGAAAAGGCCAACCAGGCCAACTCCCCGCCACCCCCTTCCCGCTCTCTCTTCAGATGCCTCTGGGAATGGGGATGAGCCTGGGGGGCAGGCAAGCACGGCGCCAGATGCCCTCCCCAGCCCACGGCCAGCCCCCACTCACCTGCTCTCGCATCCTGTCCTGCTGACCGCGCAGGGCCAGGGCGTGCTGGGGGTACTTGTTCTTCAGGTGGTCCATGAACGCATCGCGCTTGCGGTCCGCATCCGCCTTCTGTAGCCCGCTGAGCGCCTCCAGGCTCTGGGCGGCGATCACCGTGTGCCTCCGCTCCGACGTGTGCACCAGCCCCACGTTGGAGAAGCGCCGGCCCCCGCCGCCCGCGCCGCCCCCGCCCCCCAGGGTCCGGTACTCCCGCGGGTACTCCGCATCATCAGCAGACAGCATGGGGGGGCTGCTCCGCTCCGGATCTGCGAGAGGGGAGAGGGGGCACGGCGGGGTCACCGGCCGTCCAGCACGGGGCTGCCCGGCCCTCCCCGGGGTCACTGCTGGGAGGGACAGGTCTAAGGCCGGGCAAGAGGCCCCCCGGGCTGCGACCAGGGCCGCCCACCCCCCACTAGGGGACCCAAGAGGCAGCAGGGGGAGGGCTCCAAGGAAGTTGGGGAGCAAGGGCAGGGTCCAGCCTCGTGCTTTTCTTTGGGTGGGTCTGGAAGAGTAATGGCTACACGTGAGGTGTTACTCGAGGCCAAGGAGGGGCGGGGAGCCTGGGTCCTGAATATCTCTTTAGCTGCATGCCCCCTTCCTTCTTCCTGATGCTGGTGTGGACAGGTTGAGGGAAGGGGAGTTTCCTTTTGGGTGTTTCCTGAAAATGTCAAAAGGAGCCTGTACTGTCTTCCTTTCAAGAGCGTCCTCTAAGGAGGTGGGGCAGTGGGGGGGGCGGGTGGAGAACCCTAGCCTCTTCCCTCAGACTAGCATGTCCAGGACACACTTGTCTTAAAGGCTAGGGGGTGGCTTGGAAAGGGGTCAGGACTAGGATACTGGGGGCAGGAATGATGATGGCAAGGAGATGGAGGCCCAGGGTCTGGGGCATGGGACCCCCTTTTCCCCTCCCTCCCCAGAGACAAACAGATGGACAGACAGGGGAGGCTGGGCACATAGAAAACAGTGAGAGAGAGAGAGAGAGAGAGATGGATTTGGGACAAACTCAAAGGAGAAAGAAAGCAGACAGAACAGCTCAAGCCCTCGCCCTTAGACCCTCCCTTCTCCCCGCCACCCCTCTCTTCAGTCTCCCTTCCCAACACGCGCACGCGCACACACACACACACACAGTTCAAGACCTTTAAGAGACGCACAGAGGACGAAGGACAGCACGGAAGCAGAAAAGAGGGAAGGCCGGGGGGTGAGGTCCCCATGCGCATTCTGAATCTTCTCCCCACGTGCCCACCAGCCCCGAAGTCCTGGCCTCGCCAGGCCCAGCCCTGCTGTCTGCATCCTCCAGCCTCAAAGCTGGGACAATGGCTCCAGAGTGTCACCCATGCCAGCTGTGGTATCATCCACTGCAGGTGCCGGGTGTCTCCTCACAGGGAGACAAAAGCAGTCCCCCTGGCTGACCCCAGCCCCACAACGCACCAGCCTCAAAGTCGTAACCCCCCCCAAGCATAGCTTAGGTCTGCGGGCATTGGACACGGCAGTGGATATATGCCCCCCCCCCCACAGGGGCTGACTCACAGGGCCAACTGGGGCAAAGAAGAGGAGGCTGGGGGTGCTGGGACCCAGTCAGGTTCCATCCAGCCGCAGTGACTGGTCAGCTCCCTTCCCCCACACATCTACTGCACAGTAGGCCAGCTGCCAGGCCTCGGTCCCCTCCTGAGCACCACAGGAGGACAGAAGAAATTTAGCCACATTTCAGGAAAAGCTATCCCTCACCTAACACACACACACACACACACACACACACACACACGCACACATGCACACACTCCTACCTAGGCTATGGCTGAGGCATGGAGATCTGGAGAACAGAGCCCTAGAGGACCCAGTACCTCCCACCAAAACTAAGGGAAGAATGGCTTCCATAGACACAGAGCTCCAAACTTCCAAAGACCTGACCCACCACTGTCATTATGGCCTGAGAACCCCTCAGCACCCCTTGTGGGGGGTTATCGCTGTGGCCCCATTTCAGAGATGGGGCTGCCGAGGTCAGAGAAGTCCAGTGATGTGCCCAAAACCACGGTGAGCGGTAGAGGCTAGCTTTGACCCCAGTATCTCTTAGGTTTGCCCCATCTCCTCCCACCACATTTTTCTCAACAATTGTCTCTTAAAGAACAATGAAAAACAGCATGTGGCACCAGGAACTCCTCTCTGTTTACCTGCTGTCTCCTCAGTCTGGCACTGGATCTGGGGTCTCTCCTCCCTTTCCTCCCCGGTGTGTGGGTCCCTCTCACTGCGGTCACCGCTCTCTGGCGTGAGTTCCAGACACACAAGAGCCAACCTTGGGGGGAACACTGCTTCACAGTTTCACACTTACACTTGTATTTTCATAAGGATCAGGAAAACTCCAAATAGAAGGTCCAACCACTGATTTCATGGATATGGTTCCTTGGGAAGGTAAGGAGATAACGTTTTCTTTTAAGTAAACGTATTTAGGGGCACCTGGGTGGCTCAGTCGGTTAAGCATCTGACTTCGGCTCAGGTCATGATCTCATGGTTTGTGGGTTTGAGCCCCGCGTCGGGCTCTGTGCTGACAGCTCAGAGCCTGGAGCCTGTTTCAGATTCTGTATCTCCATTTCTCTGACCCTTCCCTGCTCATACTGTCTCTCTCTCAGAAATAAATAGAACATTAAAAAAAAAAAAAGTAAATGTATTTAGGTTCAAAGGGAGTTAATGAAGAACTTATTGTGTTAACAGGGTGCAGAGGGTCCCTGATCTGAAGGAAATTCCCAAAGATGGCCCCTGATTAAGTGAGGCTGGGAACCTTGGGGTCACCTTCATGAAGGCCCAGTCCTGTCTTTGAAGAGCTGGTGGCAATCCAGGGTACCAGTGAGTGTGGCTGGAAGGGAGTGACCTGAATAGTCATCCAGGAGAAGGAGAGGCCAGGATGGAGGTGCTCCGGCCATGACCCTTAGCCTCTCTCTTCCACTCACCCCCACCTCCAGCGGAGACACGCATTGGGCACTCCCGAGCAGGGGGAGACCCTCCATGGCCATACTGCTCTCTCTGCCCACTGGCCTTGCCGCCGGAAGGCCAGCTCTAGAGTCCGGCACAGCCTCACCCGAGCCAGAGGGACCTCTCTCCTTCCACTGGATGGCCAGGCTCACGGTGCCCTCCGAAGGCTCTGGACACACACAGCTTCAGGGGACAGGCCTCCTCCAGTCCTCCTCTCCTCCCTTCTGCCCCTCTGCCCTCGGGGACTCAGAAGAGCTGCTTGTCCCCATCTTCACCCTCTGTGCCAGCACCCTCTTTCCCCACTCCTGGGGAGACATCTTAGCTCATTTGGCACAGAGACCAGCAGGGACTGTAGGGAGGTGCAGGGGCCACCCAGCCTCCACCAGGCCGGTTAGAGGGACAAGGCGGGGCTGGGCAAGGAGGGGTGCAGGCTGCTAGAGCGGGCGCCGAGGGGGAGCAGACGCGGACGGCGGACATGTGCTCGCAGCCCTCTTCATGACTGCGGTCCTATAAATCTCACGCGGGCAGTGCGGCGGGGAGGGGGCTGCCGAGCTGCCGGGTGGAGAGTGGAGAGCAAGGTCTGTCACTGCCTCCTTGAGGTCAGGGTTCAGCCCTCTGCTGCCCAGGCATGGGTGGAGGGAGGAGGCAGGGGAGAGGCAGGAGCAGGATTCTGGGGGCTGGCAGAGAGGGGAGGGGCGGGAGAGACCATCTGCTATCTCTGGGGGGTGGGGGGAGGACGAAGACGGGCCTGGATTTGCAAAGCTCTAGCGTCTCTTTAAGAACCTTTGAGGGGCGCCTGGGTGGCTCAGTCGGTTAAGCGTCCAACTTCAGCTCAGGTCATGATCTCGCGGTTCATGGGTTCGAGCCCTGCGTCGGGCTCTGTGCTGACAGCTAACTCAGAGCCTGGGGCCTGCTTTGGATTCTGTGTCTCCCTCTCTCTCTGATCCTCCCCTGCTCACACTGTCTCTCTCTCTCTCAGGAAAAAAAAAATCTTTAAGAACCTTTGAAATCCTCAGCTTTATTTAACAAAGAGGAAACTAGCTTGGGGAAAGAGGTGAGGCTCCAGCTCCAATGCATATCCGCTACCCTATGCAGGGCCCCAGGGGGCTGGGAAGACTGACTGGGGCTTCTCAGCTGCGGGGCCATCCTGTTGCCCTTGGGAGAAGGCGGCCGTGGGGGCTCAGAGGACTCGGGCCTGACCTTCTCCCTTTGAGTCAGGCCAGGCGCATGAGGTCAGGGCACTGGGAGGAAAAAACCCCAGGCCAGAGACACACACCCCGGGTTCTGAGTCAGCTCCGTCCCTGAGGGACCCCGTCAGCCTTGCTGGTTACTCATTCGGTCAACAAGACTCTTCCCTGGAGCCTGAGGGCTCTCATCTGTAAAGTGGGCTGTTAACCTCTAAACCCTGCCCTGTCTTGCCTGCCCAGAGTGAGAAGCTCGAAAGATAATGGAGGGGAAAGTGTGTTGTCTTGAATTAAAGGTGTTCCTGGCATGTGGGCTATTGGGCCCTAGCAGGGCAGCCTTCCTGTTTCCCCTGCACTCACTCCAGCCACCATGGCGTCCCCAGAGTGGCCCTGACCCTCCCCTGACTGAGCAGCCCAGTGAAAAGCTGGGGAGATAGATTCCCATCCAGCAAGCGGCTGGTTCTGGGCACCCTGGCCCTGAGCAGATCAATGCTTCCTGTTCGGTGGTAGTGGCAGGGGGCGGCGAGGGATCCATAGGGGTAGGGACTTGAGGGGGTGGCAAAGGGGACAGATGGGACAGAGAGGCCTGGAGGGGGTATGCAGGGCTGCGATCTACTGGGGCAGGGGGGTGGGGATTGCAGGACTGTGAGGTGGAGAGGCAGAGGAAGGGCGGGGAGGCCACGGAGGAGGAGCAGAGCTGGGTGCACTGGGGAAGCGATGCTGGGACTGAAGGCCCCTGAGGGGTGGAGGTTGGGGGATCTGGAGAAATAAGCTGGGGTCCGAGGGTTCGCCACCTCTCCAAGGACACCCGGATGTGCGAGGCCAGTCATAATTTTTGAGTCAGAGATTCAGGCTACAGAGAAGATGCCCGAGACCGGTGAAATCCAGCTCAGAACGAGGGGAAGGAAAAGCGGGGAAAGGGGATTCTGTGACCCTCGGCTCAGGCTCAGCCTTCCCAGCCTGGGCAACCGGGAAGGGACAACCTCCCCCCCCCCCCCCCCCCCCCCCCGCCCCGGCTGGGGTGGTGGGGAGGAGGTGGGCGCCCCCCAGTGGCCGGCCGAGGATGAAGGCGCAGGCGCTTGGGAAGACGGCGGGCGACATTGTTATTTGTGCCACCAGTT